TGTAAATGGTAATTTAAGTAAATGGTAGTTTTAGTGTAAACGGTACCCACAGAGGAATCTCCCATATAAAGAACTTTTTTCTAAATTTCTTCTTCCCAGGTAAACCCAGCACACTCTCTGAAACAGTTTCATTATTCTCCTGTGAAAAGTAGGAAACATTTTCATAGCTACAATGTGAAACAGGACAGCATGGAGAAAATTTCTTTTTAAACTAATCTTCCCTTTTTCACAGCTATACAGAAGAATGTCTAGTGGTAGTTTGATTAAAACTGCAGCTCTTACCCCCTTATTTCCTTTTGGTATGTAAGCAAGTCCTTAGCATATATTACTGTTTAAGACAGGCTTCTTGGGATTTATTGCTTTCTAATGAAATGTCCTGGATTCCATATGCACAGATTACTAGGTTGTTCTTCCTTCTGTACTTTTTTTCTTCTTAAGTTGTCCAGAGGGTACAACTCAACAACAGGTTTCAAGAGTCTACAGTAGGTAGGTGAAAAGCTCTTAGGCACTTTCTTTTCACTGAAAGAAGAAAGGCTTTTTCTTTTTCGTAGCAATGGGTATTAAATGGGTTTCTAAGTCTTTAATTTTATGTTATTTTTGCTTCTACCAAGGTGGAAGACACTTACCCAGAAAGAGGTAGCTGGGAATAGAGCTTACTGACCCAGATATTTTCCTTTAGCGCAGCATGTTTTTACTGCAGTGCCATCTATATCCCATTCCAACAGGGCTCCAGCCTATGTCCTCCTATAACAGCACCAGTGTTGCTTATCAGTTCTCTACAGAGGTTCACCTACCAATGCACTTTTAAGTAGTACTAGCAGGTTGTGAGATACATTAATGACTGTTGGAGTTAGGTGACCACATTGGAGACACAAAATTCTTACCTGTCAACTCGGGGAAAAGAAAACACCAGAACAAGAGGTCTCCAGAAAAACAGACAGGTTTTTTAAGACCTAGAAGTATTAGACATTTCTAAGTGTAAATTCTGTATAAATACTTTAGGTTAAGTCTGCATATCCTCTTGCCTCTGACCACAGAAATTAAAGATTGCTGTATGTGTTTTAAACCCTGTGTGCTTGCAGAAAATATATTTTATCAACCTATCAATATCTGGTGCCAGGTAAAAAATCTCTCAGTGTCAAGGAAAAACAGTGAGAGGCATCTACGCTGAAGGAGAAGTGGATGCCACCCAGCCAGCTGCTGTGGATCACTAGCTCAAACAACCCTGTGTTTGCAGATATCTGTAGTGTAAAGTGGTTGATACGTACTCAGATTTTCTGCTTTGTTCTGCTTTTCAGCCCAGGCTCCAGCCAGACTGTTTTGGGGTTGGTTCTGTGTTCTCACTGATAGCCTCACACAATAGGATTAATCTCTGTTACTCCTACTGCTGAGTATCTGCCTGGACAAAAGTTCAGTTACCTCAAACAGGAGGAGAGCCAAAGAGGTGAAGCAGTTATGGACAGTGACAGTAAACCTGAGCCATAAGAAGGGGCTGGGCATATTTGTTTACTGCCTCTGTGCATTCAGAAAAGACAGAAGTCCACAGTTCCAGCTGAGTCTTTGAGGTCCTAAATTCAGAGCATTTTGAAATTAAGTTAGCATTTGGTTGAGAGCAGCTGAATACGGGCCAGCAGTTTGCCCAGGTGGCCAATAAGGCCAATGGCATCCTGGCTTATATCAGCAACAGTGTGACCAGCAGGACCAGGGCAGTGACTGTCCCCATGTGCTCAACCTGAGGTGAGGGTCACTCCCTGAGGCCTCACCTTGAGTCCTGTGTTCAGTTTTGTGCCAGAAGCTGTGTCAGGGGAGGTTCAGGTTGGATATTAGAAGAAAGCTCTTCACTGAGAGGGTGTTTGGGCACTGGAACAGGCTCCCCAGGGCAGTGGTCACAGCAGCAGCCTGACAGAGCTCAAGGAGCATTTGGACAATGCTCTCAGGCACAGGGTGTGATTCTTGGGGGGTCCTGTGCAGGGCCAAGAGTTGGACTCAATGATCCTTCTGAGTCCCTTCCAGCTCAGGATATTTTGTGATTCTGTGATATTGTGAGGTGCTGAGGTGTATCCAGACAAGGGCAGCAGAGCTGGGGAAGGGTCTGAAGCACAAATCTGGTGAGGATCAAGCTGGGGGAGCTGAAGGTGTTTAGCCTGGAGCAAAGGAGCCTCAGGGCAGAACTGCCAGAAAGGAAGTTGTGGTGAGGCAGGGATGGGTTTCTTCTCCCAGGTAAGAGGTGACAGGACAGGAAGAAACAGCCTGAGGTTGCACCAGATACAGGGTTGGATTGGATATTCAGAAACAAATCTTCACTGAAAGGCGTGTCAAGCCTGGACCAGGCTGTCCAGGGAAGTGGTTGAGTCACTGTTACTGGAGCTATGTAAAAGATGAGTTGATGTGGCACATGGTTTAGAGGTGGACTTGGCAGTGTGGTGTCAACAGTTGAACGGGATGATCTTAGAGGTCTTTTCCAAACTAAAAAATCCTATGATTGTGTGATTGCATGAAGCATCATATTTTTCCTTGGATCTGTCTGAAATTCTGCTTCAATCTCAGACATGACCCCAAAATTATAATTCTAGTGTGAGTCTGAGCAATCTTTCAATTTCCATCTTTCTTTCCCAGTTATTTGTCTTCTTTATTTTACTACTTCAATTATGTTCGGCCTCTTAATAATAAAACAATAGTTGGTGTGGAAGGACAGACTTTTTATTCTAATGTAACTAATTTACATAGTTCCATTTTATTTTTAATACAGCAACACTTCATTCTTCTGATGGGCTTATTTTTCTGATGCATGCAGAGAAGAAGGCTGAAAAAGAAATTGGAAGTTTAAGGCTGTATGTGGTCCAGTGTCTGAAAAGTGCTTTCTTTAATTTTCCTGTGGTGATAAGCTGTTCAGTGCTTGCAATTTATATGATTACTTTTTATTAAGCTGGGAGTTCACCAAGATTGTGTTTAGTTTGAGATGTTGTTTGTTCCTCCTCCAAACTCCATTGTCTAGTCCACAGTGTCAGACTGCCTCTCCTGAGACCTTAAAGACAGAGAGGGACATTTTGCCATTTTGTGCTACCTCCAAGTTTGTCACCTGTGGCATGGGAAGCACATCATGACCCTGTACAGCAGAGGGTCTGATCTCAAACACAAAACTGATTGTGTTTTGAGTTGAGACATACACAGAAATGTGTTTCTATTCACATTACCTGCGTACAGACTGCCTGCATTGCAGGGAAAGCTTCATTGTGAGTCATCGAGAAAATAGAGAAAAATTTGGAAAATTATCATGAAACATTTCTTTACAAGAAAGCGATCAAACCCTGGAGCAGGCTCATGGAGAGGTGGCTGATGCTCCATGCTTGTCAGTGTTTAAGAGGCGTTTGGACAATGCCCTTAATAGTGTGCTTTAACTTTTAGCCAGCCCTGGTCAGGCAATTGGACTAGATGATTGCTGAAGGTGTCTTCCAACTGAAATATTCTATTCTGTTACTATTTTATTCCTGCTCTAATTTTATCCTATTCTATTCCATTCTGAAGTTGTGGTATGGAGATAGACATCAAGTAGTTTGCCAGAAACATCTGTATATTCTAGAAAGAGAGAGAGAGAAAATATTTCATTAAAGTATCATTTATGCCTTGTATGGAGAACGCTTTGAAGGATCTAAATAAGTCTAACTTGGAAATAGTGTACTTTAGCTGGGAAGGTTGCCTAACGTAAGTAGTGTCTTATATTAGTTGTTTTAGACATCACGTAAGTCAATTGACTAATTGAGCTAAGCCAGTTTCCTATTACTGTATCCAGTTTGCTTTTTAGCCTCTAAGATGCTGTACTACTGTCACTGATGCCAAAGCCTCCTAACCTCCTGGAGCTCTAGGATCAAATGAAGGTAGAATAGGTGCTAAAGGAGGGCTGCACTGGATTTTCTGGAGTACACTCTGCAACACGTTTCAGCTGTCAGACTGAAGTTTATCCCTGAAGTTCTACCTTGTCCTTCAGATCCTGTATGCCTTCTTCTTCTGTGATGGTAGACAGCTCTTGGTGCCCTGATGTTTGCTTTATATCAGATGCTGCTGCAGTTCAGTGCTGTATGAGTAGGAATCTGGGAATATGGAAACAACAGATGTTGTTCAATATGAATGTAAAAAACGTTTATGTAATTCTTAATTAAAAGTGTCACTTATTCTAAAAAGAAAGGAATGGAGGTAGTCCGTACTGACAAAATAAAAAAAGGTAACAAGTGTTCAGATCAAAATGATGACATAGTTTTCATGAGTAAAGGAAAAGCACAAGTAAAAAGCTGCAGTATCTGTTACTTCTTAAGAAGCAGAGGTTCAAAAAAAGTTATTGCTATGGCAACAAAAGGAGCAGGAGGATTTACACTTCTGTGTGTTTCAGTGCAGTCTTAAACAAGAGTGAATCTGGCTAGAAAGAACAGCTGCATATATATTAATTCTTATTTTTTATGAGTTGTGTATCTCGCCTCACTACCTCAGAGCCTATAACTTAGAGTGATAGGTCATTGACCGTACATGGCTGAAGACGTTCATGGACCCGTTAGAAGCATAATTCTTAGATTATTTATCATACTCTCTCCTATATAGAATCACAAGGTTGAATAGGTTTCTAATATCACTTGAAAATATTTATTCTATGTCATATGGCATCAGTTAGGTCTACACTCATAATACACCTAAATCTTCCTCGTAATCTGTTGGGAACACTAAGTCTAATGTCACTCTAAGATAGGAACTAACTAATTTCACCTTGTAAGTGTCACTGAACACCTTTTTTCCATATGAAGATTAATACAATTTCTATCTTACCAGATTTTATATCACAAAATATACTGTATATTAATCCTATTTAATAAGCGTCTCATAAAGCCAATCAAGTAAGATTATATCATAGACATCAGGAAAATTTAAGATTCAAGTCATACTGCCCTGATTTATGGTTTGGTTTTTTTTAATTACCCTGATTTCAATAATGGTATTGTCTATTAACGTTGCAGATCACAGTTTTTCGAATGGGATCGGAAGGACACCAGGATATTGATTTAGCTATCCTGACAGCACTACTAAAAGGTAACAGAGTTAAACTTCACAGTGAGTCTCTATCAATCCAGTTTGTGTCTCTGATGTGCTGAAACCTACATTTATTGACATATCTATCAAGATGATAAATCTGTACTGTGGAACTGAAGTATGCTTCATGCTCTAACTGCTTTATACAAATCCAGCCCTTTCTTTAAACAGCAGCTGTTTTTCCTTTCTGAATTTGTGTTCTCCACAGTCACTGATGTGTCACAAGAAATATCAGTGGTGACCCCCACACCAGTTACTTGAGAAGTTTAGTATTCACAAGAAGACAGCCAAAGAACTCCGACTTTGATTACCTTGGTAGCTAGAACATCCATTTAGATGAAGCTGGCTCTATTGTCAAAGTAAGATGTTATGTGTAGTCATTCCTAGGAAAGTCTGAAAATAGTGTGAGGTTCCTTTCAGCCTCCACTTGTGGAGTTAAGAATGTAGCTATTGAGATGGTTAGGCTTCTAATGTTAAACTTGGCTGGTTGTTACAGCTTTCTAAGCCATTACATGTTACACTTCTGCTCTTAAAAGGTCGGCTTGAAATAAATTTGCTGTTGCTACAGTCCATGATAGACCCTGGTCTATATTAATTAATAAATTAATTCAAAATAAGCATCAAGAATTTCATCCATCATCAAATTTCTCCTTTATGTCCCTTGGAAATAATGTAACTTAGGTTTCATTTTTATCTAAATGTAACTGAATCCATCATTATCCTCATTGTGAAGGTATTCTCTTCACATTTGTTCTTAAGGCAATCCCTGAAAGTACTGCTCTTCTTTTCTGTTAATAAGGCAAAGAATGTCTGAGAGCTGTGATTCCACTGTTTTCAAGGTCTGTATCCCAACATAGATCTCTCGAGTCTTCTGGAAACTGATTCGTGTAAACTAAAGAAAATAAATCACAGGCCTATGAGGGATTGTTTTCTATTTGAAATGTTCTTTTGTAGTATTTACATGGGTAACTCTTTTAGTGGTTGCAGTCTCAGTATATGAGCAGTCTTCCTTGATCTGGAATATCCATTTTAGAAGTACCTAATTGGTGCTGTTGGCCCCTTAGTAAAATAAAATTTCCTTTCCTCTTCGTGTTAAGGGTGCAAGACATCATAAGAAATTTTTGTTAGCTCAGGAGGTACCTGGATCTGTGTAAGTACTTTTGGCATTTCCCTTCATGCTTGTCTGAGAATCTTGATTTGAAAATCTTCTGAAGGCAACAACACTTGCTTCTTCCTCAAGAAAAAGCCAGAAGAACTAAGACTTACACCTAATCTTCCCTGCTCCTCAGGATTTTCTGATTATGGAGGTATTCAATGAAGATCAGATTCATCAGGCACCTCTGGTTTGTATAAGCCTTCTGATCACAAGGTGTTTAATCAATAAATGCAGAGATGAGATCTGTTGTCTCAGCCAAGTCAGTCGTCCTTATTTACACCATGTCTTTGTACAGGTGTTCTGGCCCACCTTGAAAGAAATACTGGCTTTCTGTAAATATACCTCACTAGCCTAATGGATACTCGGGTTTTTCATCAACGTCTAAGGTAGCAATGCTGAACCACTTGTCTATTGATTTTTTTTTATAATTTATTTCTAAGAGGAAAAATAAATCAAAATTATTTTTTCATGCTGTAGGAATTTTCATGGCATTGGAATTTTCAAGACGTTGGAGTTTTCATGGCATAGGAAACTCCCTACAGTTTCTTGTCTCTAAAATTAAAGAAGAATAATAATAGTAGTAATTCAAATAAGTAAGGAGATTTGAAGACTGTGCCTGAGTTATCTTGAAATTCATAAATTTAAATTTAAGAATTCATCTCTTCCTACTGTCCAGTACTGTGCGAAAAAAGGGACAGAGCAATGTATGAAACTGGTGAGTGATTACCAGTAATTTTTTTTTTCAATCTTCCTGATAAGGAATATACAGTTTTTAATAGTGCAAGAGAAGCATATAAGCTAATGACCCATCCCAACCTTGTGTGAGTGATTTGATAAGGCAGGAGGAGGACAAGGGTTTGGAAACACAAAGTATCTCTACCCATTTGCTGTGTAAAATTTGTGATGAACTCTTCTCTTTTTAAACCCGCACCAGACACACTACCAATTCAGGAGCTCTCCTGGACAGCATATTCCACAAGCCCTAAACCCAGCATCACATATTATTTCTTTGTTTGTTTTCACAAGACACTTGTTTAATCTTGTCAGCAAGATCTATATTTCTTGGAAGTGATCTTCAATAAACTACAGAATGGTATCCAAACTGGTTATCAATTTACATTGCATGGATGTCACAACAACATATGGTTTGCAATTCCTTTTTTTCTTCCATTTTAATCTTGAGAGACACAAATGTGGGAAGTAAGTTTCCAAAGGCTTGAGTTTTTAGCAGGCAAGTTTATTGATACAGTTTAACTGTTTGTGCTCTCTTCACTTGAACAGTTGGAACCCACACCATAATGGATTTTGTCCTTTTGCAGCTGCTAGCAAAGCAGAAGGCATATGACAGGGAAGTTAAAGACAGCATATGGAGATGATCTAAAAAAATACTTGTTTTGAAGTGGCTTCAAAGATCCTAGTTCACAAAGCTGTTGCAATGTCTGGAGCAGACTAGCACCAGCCATGTTTCAGATGGTGCTCCAGAAGCCTTCCCAGTGGAATTGTCAGCTCTGGGAAAGAGGTACTGTGTGGTGTGTGATATTACATGGCAGTGATATTACTGCCATGTACCCTCTGAGAGAAGCCATGTTAGGCTAAAGCAGACCTGAAGTTTCTGCATACTTTCCAGCTTGTGAGTAAGCCGTGATTCATGCTCACTGAATAGCCATCATGTAGTATCAGATGGTCAAGGATAGTCTGCCTAACAAAAAGGTTTCAGAGTTAGTTCAGCTATATGGTTACTGCACTTGTAACTGCTTTTGCTATCTGCTTTTATATTGCCAATTGGTTTCCTAATTGCCAGGATAATTCTGTAGCACATGCTATGGAAACACAGCCTTTGCACCAGCGAGCTGCTGAAACAGGAGCCAGCATCAGACTTGCAGAGACACAGAGCAAAAAGTTAATTTGGTTTGCTATTTTCCTTAATCTAGTTATTTTATTTATATGTTGATTCAAAAAGGACACTGACATACTTAGGTTCACTGTGGAAATGGGTATCCCAAAACCATTTCTGCCTAGGTAGATGTTTCATGTCATTTCATTTTTCCAGATGCCTGAGCATCAAGATCATAAGCTATTCCAGGAAGATCCTTTAGGGGTTTGTGTTGGTCACAGTCAGCTTTAGCCAGTATGTAAAAGCCCGTAGTAAAAGTATATAAAAGCTCTTCAGAAGTCCTGCATGTGCACAGCAAGTAGACAGCATTGAGTTTATGGTCCCAGGCTTTGTCATCAAGGAGTATTACATTTTCGGTCCAAAATATTGAGTAGACAGTGTGACTTTTTAAAAGAAGAGTCTATGCAAGCACTCCTGGATGGCAGCCTAAGAACATAACATTAACATCTGCAGGAACTAACAGCTGTCCCAGCAGTCTATCTATATCCAGTGGTATCTGTACCAAGATAAAATACTGCCAAAACAATGTATTGCATCCCAACTGCAACTTTTCTTCTAGGAGCAGGTGAAAGGAAGGGTCACACTGCAGATGCTGTCATAGTAACAAAGCATTCTTTTGAGGAACATATCTTACAATCAGCCAGACACCAGAATACTGACTAAATATTACAGAGACATTATTCATATTACCTAAAACATTATTTAATGCAATAAGTATGATGTGATAATTAAAATAATACAATGCAATAGGTTATTAGCTCTACCTTATTTATTTCCTAAATATCCTTTGGCCTTAATTTGGGCATGTGACACTCATGAGTGACAGGTATCCCCAGAAAGATCACTTTTTGGATTCCTCCTACCAACTCAAATCCATGTTTTATGGCACTGAATGCAGTCAAGGAAATGATTGAAAGGGGACAGTACCTTAGGAAGGACATCTCATGTTTTTACTGGGGAGTTTTGTTATATGACTGGAATCATTCATTCTTCTTAATAGTGGGTAGAATTCCACCTAAAATAACCGGAATACTTATTTTTCATGTGAGACAAAGGCCAACAGTTCTATCCTAGAATAAAATCAATTAAAAGGCATCCACAGCCCATATACTGCTCTGTAGAAACATTTATAGCTTTGATTTTCCTTCTCCTCTTAAGTAACATCAGTGTTATCCACATTCATCTGAAACCCCTCAGCGAAGACGGGAAAGAGAAGAAGGAAGCAAGGCTTTCCAGCAATAAACTGTACTGTGGAAGCACCCATCCCACCAAAAGCACAGAGCCCCAGCATGCACACCCATACTGCCCAGTCTACACCCTAGCTGACAGACTGCTTCAGACCTGGAGTACAACATCCCCTTGAGAAACCATACATTCCCTTCGACTGCCAGATACCTGCGTGCTCTGTGAGACAGTGAAATCAAACATTGTGGCAACAAGCACTGAGAAAAACACCGAGAAAACTGGGACTGCACATGTACCAACAGGAAAACTTGTCCCTGCTGGCAGGCTTACGTGCAGTGGGAGATGGGAAGATGGGAAGGACGCAGGCTGAACCATGGCTTGCTTTCCCGCCTGCTCAGTATTTGCAGTAATGAGCATGCTCAAAGAAAACAATTTTGGTGAATGGATGAGCAGGCACCACTTCATGCCCCATGCCAGCTATTCTTTCCCGTGATCAAATGCACCAGAAGACCTTCTATTCGTCTGCCAGCTGAAGTTTTTCTAAAGCTGAAAAGGCCCAGGACTGCTAGGGTCAGTCAACAAAACTGGAGAGCACTCCCTGCTAGGGCTCAGAAGTTACTCACCTGGAGTTTTGGTGATTTAGCTTGACTTTTGCCTGAAATGGGGGCAGTGCAAATAGCCCACTTTCCCATGTCCATCTGATCCACTCTTGATCCAAAATGATTTCCTACTAGATGGCACCCCTGGCTACCCATACTGTAAGCTGTAGTAGGAAAATGAGGAATTGGAGCTCCCTCATCACAGATGAGAAATGTTGTCAGGCAGTGGGATCACCATCACTGTCCCCCAGGATTTAGAGTTCACCCTTGTGCCTCCTCCATGGCTCAACAAAAACTTTGTCAGAGCACCTGCTAAAGCTCTCACTTCTCCTACAGGCACATGATTGGGAAGGAGGAGATCTGATGAGAGCATCTCTTGTTTGTTTCAGAAGGGGGGAGAACTATTTGCTCTCTATGTTTAATTTACGCTATCATACTCACTGCAGATATTTTTCCTGTTTTTATAAATAAATCTTGGGATGTTGAAATGTAGAGGCAATTTTGCCTTTCCCAAAGGTAAATATTTTTTGTTCTTGAATGCTGCATTACTTGTGTAAGAAACTCCAAAAGTTTCAGATGTTGTTGGCATCCCCCCAGAGGTCTCTTGTGAGAGATTTTTTTTTGTAGTATATAGCAATGAGAAGTTATGTCTTATGCAAGGGAGCATTCCTGACACTTCTTAGCCACAGAAGTCACAGAAGTATTTTCACTTTTTTTTTTCCTTCTTCATTTGTCTCAATTCTGTTCTGTTTCTGCATTGTCCACCTTTTTATCAGAGCTCATTTCTGTATGAATGTGATCTGGATGATTCACAATCCACCATCTCTCAAACCATTACCTGTAGGCATTGACAAGTATTTGGCAATGTCAGCAGTAAACTGACTTCAAAGTTGAAAGTTATGAAATTAAACTATAGACTAAGCTCTACGAAGGTTTTTATTAAGGTCTTCACAGAAAATTTCAGCAGCCAGCCTTATGTATTCCTTGCCTCCAATTTCAGAGTCCACTTTCAACTGGAACAGAGTGTGGGTTTGAAGAGTAGTGAAATGGGGATAGAAATGCTTTGAAGTAATGAAAAGCTATTATTTATCCTCACTCCATGATACCAGTATAAGAATTAATAAAGACACAATAACAGTAGAGGTATGAGGTCTTTAAAAAAATAAGCCTTTATACAATCACCTAACCCCTACAAGCAGATATGTAGTTAAAAAGTCAAAGGGCTCTTTATTTATTTGGTTGATCAGTTCATTCAGGCCAGTTCTCCCTTTGACATTGAAGCACAAATGCTGTTTTATTATTACAAATCAGCTGAGAACCGTGAAATATTAAAAACGCACAGCAGGACAGGAATGTCCCACAGTGTCCATTAAAACTGCAGGGAAAAACATACCCTTCCTTCCAAAAACAAACAGCTCCAAATCCATCTTATCTTCTGCATAGTTTCTTGTTTAATTTGGATATATTATACCTTGACACAAGCTTTGTAGAATGCTTTCTTACATGTGTATTTCATATATGAAGGGAGACTTGTCCCACCAAGATGCCTCAGTACAAATAGGAGAGAAATTCCTATTATTCTTATCAAGCTGGAATGCATAAGATGCCAAGAAATGCACAACTACTGAAATCAGTGGTGTCTGTATAAGTTGAATCTGCTTGTAATTGCTGGAGGCACATGTGTGTGTGTATGCGTGCTCATGTGATATGTGTGGGGGTGTGTGTATTCCTGCAGCTCCATCTGTATCCTGGCTTGTTCTTTTGCTTCCCATCTGACAGGAGGGAAACCAGTTTAGTCCACCACAAACCTCCTCTTCTGATGTCACCTGTATCTGCTGTATTTTGAAGGGGAATATGAGAAAAAAATTAATATTTATAAGACTATCTGAGAACCACAGATCCAGATTTGAGAATGGATGTTTGTATGTTTGTTTGTTTGTTTGTTTGTTTTTACAGGTGCAATGGAAGGTTTGGTTTTGTTTTGAGATCAGTTGCAGAAATTACATGGACATCTGTGAGACTTTTCACAAAGAGGAGTTAGCAGGGCATAATGAGCCTAATGTCTTGTTTCTTCTTTCTCCTTTTCTCCTTCCTGCACCCCTGTCTGTACACACAGGAGCTAACGCATCTGCTCCCGACCAGCTGAGCCTAGCACTAGCCTGGAACAGAGTAGACATCGCCCGCAGTCAGATCTTTATTTATGGGCAGCAGTGGCCGGTACAGTATATATATATATATATTTATATGTATATATGTATGTATACACAGCATCTTCTACTGGAAACACTTTGAACCCTACAGAGTATTAAATCCATTCTGTTTGCAGGGGTGTTTTTTAGTGTGGTTTAAAATACACTGGGTCCTGCCAAACACGCTGTTCCCAGTCACAGCTGCTGAAGGCAGGCGCAGTTGCAGAGGTTGATGTGTTCTGTTGTCCAAGGAAATGGTGACATCTAGCGATGCCTTAAGAGCAGGAAACCGTACCTCTGAAAAAACGGGAAGTACCAGGTTTGGGCTACCAAGCATGATTCTGCAAGCTGAGGAAAACAAGTGTACAGCCGTGTTTTAGTGCTAGGCTATAAATTCAAGGAAAGTCAAAACTTCCTTTCTCTCTTGAAGCAGCATGCTTTTGTATGCAAATACTGAGTTTAAGGTGATGATTTGACAAAAAAAAATGCACGATACAAATGTTGGGGGTCAGGTAGACTGCAGGAGCTGATCAGCACCTCAGGTGGTGTTAATTCTGTGCCCAGTGCTGCTCTGCATTGATCTGCCTGCTCTACATCTGCACCGTCCTCTGCTCCAGTTGCTCCCTGGCTAATACCATTGCTTGGGAGCACCAGAGGCCTGGATTCTATTCATGAGTGGTAGGGCTGTGAATAGAGGGGTTATTGAACACTGTGTCAGGCAGAGGAGGAAGAGTCAACACCCAGATTGTGCTGGAGCTTTTACAGGGGCAGAAGTCACATAGAAAAAAAAGACCAAAATCCAGAAGGTCCCGATCTCTATCTGTATCTTCTTAAACCCCAACTTATTCACTCAAAAGTTTCAATTGGACTGCAATAGTCATTAGTGTGACATTTGTTTCATTACTGTCATTTAAATTTCACATGCTATCATTACATGAGCATTTACAATTCCCCATGGAAAAATTATAACAATAGGAAAAGCTTCTGTTTAAGTATCCTTACTTTAAATGTAGCATTCTGCAGCTTGCTTCCCTTAAAAGCTAGTACAAAAATCCTTGCCTTTTCAATCGTAAAGTGAACAGGATTCTTTATTTTGTCTTTGATATTGGGCATAAGTACGTGTCAAAACATAGGAGGGATTTTAATGGCACTGAACTGTCCTCGTTGTTATCTCTTCATCACCACATCATAACAAAAATTTGCATAAATTCTGCAAATTGCAATAGTTTCAGAAGCTAAAAGCTGGAAGGATGAGATAATTTCTTATCCTTCTAACTCTGCCTGACCTACAAGAGATAAGAAGTAGAGGTTTTGTGTAAGAAAACCTCTTGCATTTGGGCCTTCAAAGAAATGCAAATTATGAAGCTATTTCTGTTTCCAGGGTGTTCAAATTTCCCTGAGGTTTCACACCACAAACAGAAGAAAACTCTACAAAAGACAGAATTAAAGTGATTTTGTGTGCACATAACAAATATATCCAATACAAATAAAATGTTTGACAGGAAAAGAAACAATGATAATAATGACATGGTGAATAAGGTTGAGATGTGGTCACCAGTTTACTGGGTTCCAGTTCCTTTGTCCTAATCTGTTTTTCCTAGAGTATTTTAATCATTTTTGAAATGCAGCCATGAATCAGAAAAACTGTTAAAGATTAAAGCCGTGAATATCCCATTTCAAGCATAGAAGAGCAACCCTCAGAATTTTGTCAGGATTCCCTGCTTGTGCTAAAGTGACTGAGCCAGCTGGATGTAGCCTGCCACACCCCAGGAACAGCTTCAATTAATCACTTGCTTTGCAGGTGGGTTCCCTTGAGCAAGCAATGCTGGATGCCCTGGTGTTGGACAGAGTGGATTTTGTGAAATTACTCATAGAAAATGGAGTAAGCATGCATCGTTTTCTCACCATCTCCCGGCTAGAGGAATTGTACAATACGGTAGGGCCAGCCTAAGGCAAATTTTCTGTTTCTATATTCACTGTTATAGCTCTCACTTGTATTGTAATGACATGATGATGATAATGATGATGATGATGATGATGCACCAAGCAGTCAACACCTGCTGCAGAAAATTTTCATGAGTTCATATTGTCTCTCTTGCATGTCTCTCATATAATGTAACATGCCTTGCCCACGTAATCTATATGGATTTTGTAAGACGCAGAATAAGCCTCATATGGTGCCAGGTAATTTCTTGTCATTGTAATTCCAATATGACAAAGCTAAGATTTAGGCAGGTGGCACTGGCTGGAAGACAGTAACTGGCAAGTTAGGACCCACAGAGTGGGATCATATGAGTCCTGACAATATGATTTCAGAAAAATCTTCCAACTCTTAATCAGTCTCTGTTATGGTGAAGGACTTCCCCATGCCCCCTCTGAGCTCCAAGAATTAGACCTTTGACTTTTAAAAACCTGCTTGCAAGTTTTTAATCCTTGCCATTAAAATGAATATAAAACTGCACAAGTTAAGTCTACTTCTGAATTCTCAAATGCAAAACACAATCCAGCATTCACAGTATTATTACCTACTTAGGTAGTAGTTCAGAAAGTTCAAACTTCTTACATGTTATGGAAAAAAAAATCTTAAAGCACTGTCTAGTTCTTAGAATTCCCCATTTTGTGTGTTGCAGAAAGGCTGTGATATGGGCATATCTCTTTTCAAAAAATTTTTTTGCTGCCAGTACTTTTCAAAGCCTTTGCTATCATAAGCTGCCACACTGGGCTGTTATCTGGAGGTGTTTCACACTGATGGTGACCAGAAGAGTCAGTCTTGCAAAATATCAAATATGAAAAGGATTGATTAAATTTGGGCAAAATAAAGATGAACAGGTATATATATGTGTGTGTGTATATATATTTATATATGGTATATATATATATGGTATATATATATGGTATATATATGCCACCCTAGAGACAAACTCCCAAATTCCCATCTGATATTTGGTCAGCTTACACTTTGCATATTGACTTGCACCTGTTAAGAACAGAATGCCTGTGAGCTTTCTTGTAACAGGCATAAGCGTTGTTGTTCTTGTACCAAAGCCAGTTTTTACAGGGAATAAGTTTTACAGAAGTCTTCAGTTCTACAGCTAAAAGAAGGGCTTTTTGAACAAATTTATTGCTACAGAAATCAGCATACATTTTTTCAGGCACAAATTCCAAAAGACCCAGGCTCTGAAATGCCTAAACTACCAATTATACTATATGACCAAATGCATCCATAGTAACCTTAGCACCAAAAAAATCACAAGGCCAGTTAAAAATTGCCCTATTTCAGCATGAGACCTAGGAGTGACCTGTGAAGCTACAAACCAGTGAATCTTACCTCTGCCATGGCAAATTTGTAAAAATAGAATAAAATATAGAACTATAGACAAAGGAACCGATTTTATATCAACAAAGACTTTACCCAGCTTCTGTAGGAAAATGTTAAGCCTTAGAAATCTATTACCATCAGCATGCAGGAGAATAAGGATTTTGCACTTGGTCCCCTCTTTTTTTTTTGCAAAACTTTGATAGTGTTATTTTAAAACTTGGAATGTTATTAAAGAAATGTAGCTGCTTATTAAAGAAATGTAGCTGCCATGGCTTAGAAAATAAGGGACAATTTTGGTTTAAAAACTACTGGAATTTTAGAAAACAGGTAGAAGGAATACATGATCCATTTTTACCACAAAAGGATATGATGACAAGGGTTGTGGAAGAACCTGTCCTGGGACCACAGCTGGTCAGCTTGTTCATGTAGGATCTGAAAAATGGTACCTACAGAAGAGACAATAATATTTGCAGGTGATTTAAATCTGAAGCATCATATGAAGAATCTCAGGTAATCATCATGCTCAGAGATGGGGTTATATAAAATTAAGCATTGGGAAGTGCAGAGCAATGCATATAGGGAAATATCGACTCTACACATGTGCAGTGGTCTCATCCATCATCAGCTACAACCAAGAAGACCTCTCATAAAAGTCTCTTAAAATATCAGCAAAAGTAAAAAAAAGGCAGAAAATAAAGTAAGATATAATGGTAGCAGTAGTAGTAGTAGCAGCAGCGGCAGGAGCAGCAGTAGTAGTAGTAGTTGTGGTAGTATCAAAATTGTGAGACTCCACTGCAGAATATTTTTGCAATGACAGCTGGAGTCAAAAGAAGATTGGACAAATTCTCAGACTGCGTTCTGCAATCACATGTGTGTGCATTTGCAGACAGTGGCCTTCAGATGAGACAGCCTTGCTGCAATGCCAGGCTCAGAGTGTCTCTGAGCCACCAGTGGTGGGAGTCCTGAGAGCAGGAAGACTGAGATTAAAGCAGCTGGTTTTGCTTCCACTCTTTCCCAGAGGTTATGTATGTTGTGCTGTGCTCCTGGTTTTTCTAAGCCAGGAGCCTAAACTGATACACAGGACTTTAGTTTTCATCCAGTGTGGCAGCTCATAGGGTTTTCTCATGGAAGAGTTTTCTACAGAAGAGAAAAACAGGTGAAATAATGCTCTTGTAATTGTTTTGAGTCTTTTTTTAAAATTGATATTACTGTGCAATTGAAGTGCTCTCATCTGCCTGATTTCTAAATTACCAAGGTGAGAAAGTTATCTCAACATTTATATTTTGTGCAAACTATTTTGTTCTTCATTTGTCCTTTGCAGAGACATGGACCATCCAACACTCTGCATCATCTAGTCAGGGACGTGAAAAAGGTAAGAGTCCAATAGACGGTAGGTTGAAAATAATGCTGTTGGTTTTTTGTAGCTAGATACAATCTGTGTTTTGCATGAGCTTTTAGTCAGATCCTTCTCCTTCCTGCCAGTACAAAATGTCGTGTCTGTGTGCTCCAAATATGAACTTTTTGCATAGAAAGCACAATTAGCAAGTTATTTGGCTTGCTTTCTCTGTAGTTTTAGACGCTTGAGTAATACTGTGTCTGCTGCCATAATTGTAGGCTTTTATATACTGTGTGGATTTATGCTGTTACTTGTATTTTTCCATACCTGCAACTGTTGTCAAAGCTACTTTCTGTGTTGCTAGTTTACTTCCAAGCCTGTAAAATAGCTGTTACCCTTGTGCTAGATCCTGGCTTGTTGAAATGGTTCCTCATTCTGTATTGTGTGGTCCATTGTAGCCATCTTCCTCGGCAGAAATATAAAAACAGAGTGACCCTGACCCTTATCACGTTAATTTCAATAAGCTTAAATTATAAAAATCCATTAGAAGAGTTAGACAGAAATACAGAAAGGTATAGTGGCAGGAAGGAGATACCTTTACCAATGTGCTCAGGATTAAAAGTTACAGCAGCTGCAATGAGTAAAAATCCCTTATCCTTTAAATATATGGATCAAGTAAGGAGATTGAGTCTGCAAATTAGTTCATCAGCTTGAATATTTTCCCAAAGCATGTGCAGATTACAACCTTGCAGATTATGTAAATCAGACCTCAAGGGTAGCATACTTGGGAACGGATATTTCTATATGTGGGACTAGATAGAAAATTGAGAAAAAGAAAGGGCTTTTTTCTAAGAGCACAGGTTTTAGTGGTTTCTTGTGTCAGTGACAACTGAACAGAATTGAAGTCACCTAAGGGAGGAGAATAGTAATGTATTATATAGCACTTTTTTATTAAGTAATTCTACAGAATAATCAGTAGCACGTTTAGGAAGGTTCTGTTGGTATTCTTTGGTTAGTGTGTTAAATGGCATCATCATTGTCCAATTATGTATAGTGTATTAAGTGACCATTGAAAAGTGTGAAATGCCTACAAAAAGAAAGTATGCACAAATCCCGTTGGACTGAGCAGAGTGAAGCTAGAATCTGTTTTGAATGGATAATGCTCTTGAACCCCAAGTTTCCAGAATATTTTTTTACTCTATATGCAATTATGTATGTGCGTATAAGAATTTGAAAGAAGCATGATCTGTCCTCTACTTTTAAAGTGTATACCTTTCCAAATGCCTTCTCTCACCCAGAATCACTTTTCCAAGTCCTTCTTCAAAGGCATAGCAAATTGTATGCTGAGTAACTAAATGGTATGAATCTCTTTTTTCTGAGCCCCTAACTAAATATGTATTTTTAAAGAAACTCCTGAAAGAAAAGGCATCAAAGTAGTCAAAGATGATCTGTACTCATGGATATATATGGATAGATATTAAATAAACCTACACTATATTTGATGACATTATTTTTTCCACAGTGACTTCTAACTATTAGGTGATAGTTATCTTTCCACAAATTTATCTTTCTTTCCTCTGTCAATATCTAAAATCTTCAGTAATTCCAAATACATTGAATCAGTCTTATGAGTGTAGGTGCTGTGAGGCTCTTCATCACCTCCCTGAAAAAAACTGGACCTCTGGGGCTGCATTTCTCATTTTGTCAGTGATGAGGAACAGCCAGGGTTCACAAGGAGAAATGACAGCTCACCATAGTCCTGCCAACTGAGCACATCCCTTACCAGTCAACCAAGCCATAAATCAGTCAGCAGATCTGACAACAGTTTAATTGAAAACACCTCCTTGACAAAAACTTCCTAATGGACACATCACCATTTGACAGCTAGATGGCCCATCATGCACGAAAGACAGACCATGCTGCTGATGCTAATTTTTTGAGTTCATGTATATTTTGATGACAGACACCTAATTGCTCAGATTTAATTACAGCGTCGCACATAAATACAGAAGTATGTAATACACCACTTTCAGACAATACCTAATCAACATGAAATACACTGTGCTTTTACATATACATCTTAATTTTAAAACCTGCTAAAAATCATAGAAGCAGTAATTTACTACTATTGTACTATGTAGCTGTATAAATCAGTAGAAGGGTGTTGCTTTGTTTTGTTTTGTTTTGTTTTGTTTTGTTTTAATTTGTTTGAAAGATAATCTTGCCTGCTTGATAAAACAAATGATTAGAACAACAGAAGTCACATTATCAGATTCCATTAGTGGTAGCCTATAGACACATGTGCACACACACACGTTCACACAAATATATAATAAAATACATTTTCCCTTTGGATTTCCAAATACTGCTGTTAAGACTGATGGTCTAAGCAGCATATTGTAAAGGCCTGGAGACACAATCTTAAAGAATTTACAGTAATCAAAATGTGCATCAATTTTGCATGCATTGACAAGACAAATTATGTTATAATGACTTTGCCTCAGATCACCTTTCAGTCCTCCCAATTCCACAGCTATATAGTGGGGTCAGCCTGCCTGCATTTTCGGCCTTGTGGCAGTTTTGACATCTCCTGTCAAGGGTCCAGAATTTCACATATAAGTTTGGCTTCCTTCCATAGACCATACACAGCAATGTTCCCAGGTTAAGCAGAAAGAATCAGATAGCGGCTGAGCTGGGCACCCTGTCTGCAAGTGGAGGTTGCCCTCTACAAATAAAAAAATATATAAAAATCCTTCCCTGCCTCAACTAGCTGATGAAGATCAGTAGAAATTAACAGATGGATTTTTTCATTTATCCAGAACATTGTATATAATTAACAGATCTCAATTCTACTTCAGGATTATTTACTTTTCCGAAATTAGGGGTTTTTTGCTACTCTAAGTCTGCATTTCCAAAGAACAAACTAGCAATATATAGAATTTTGACAGTATTACTTTTTCCTCAGCAAACATCAGAGACTCGATACGTGGTGACACAAAAATGCACTTCAAGTGAAAGAAGTACTACAAGTGACTAGCTACAGTTTAAACCTGAAATTCTTTCAGAAGAATAGTGCATTAACACTGAAGAGTTTGTCCCAGCATTAAAAGATTTGTTGATTATTTACCAGAACAACTATCTTACCTCAAAGTCAAACTTTCTCTTCAGTCATTCTTGGCCACCTCGACTGCACTGGAATTAATTCATCCAAATTCTTCTTGTTCTTGGGGCGGTTCTGTCTCACTTGCACCACTGTGCTTCATTTACAAGCATTCTTAGCACTGCCAGGGTGGTTCAAACTGTCTGCTGACAGAGCAAGTGCTTCTGCATGCATGTAAATCCTTGCACAAGGATAGTCCCGTTTTCTTTACTAGGGCTTCTCACTTTGGAAAAATAATATTTCTGAAATGTGTATTTTTGCTGTGGATTTGGGAGTTTTCTTTAGTGAAGTGCTTCAGTATTATCTGGGAGGTTTAGATGCATCTTTTATCAAAGTTATCTTACTGGAAATTTTTAATCTAAATTTTTTATGAAAATTTAGAAATCAGAACTATATCAAGAAACTCACACTTGGTAACACATGTAGAACCCTGATGCCTGTTGTTCTTTCTTAACTGCTCAAATGTTTTTGCCACTTAATAATATTAAAGCATTCAGTTTGAGTGAAGACCTTAGGTTAGAAGGAGTCTGTTGAATTACAATCGTGCCTTGGAGATGCAACTCCCGTTTCTGCTAATGCTTTCTTTCTTGTTCTAGTAAAATTATCATTTTACACATTCTGGAGAGAAAATAACATTTTAGGGGGACAACCAAACAAGCAAACTTATCAGAATTTAATTTTTAAATTTCATTTTCAGGTTTATTTTTAATTTCATTTTTAGATGCTATTTTTCTTTAAACTGTACAGCATAAATGTTACCATGTCCACATTATCTAAGTTAATACACATTCCTGCAAACCACAGTAATTCCTCCACCCATCAAACTAGACAAGATTACGGAAGTTGCAAAAGGATATGCTGGAGGACATTACTTAAAAACGTTGGCAGCCCAATTTTTTCCACTAAATTTGCTTGATTTTCTGTCCCTTCGAATGCCAGCTGATTGCTGGTCATGGTACACTATGAGAGCACAATCTCTCTCCCTCCTCAGCCTTTTCAGCATGCTGCTTGTACCATGGTAGCAGGGCAGGAAATCAGCCTTGCTCTTCATGGCTGATGTAGAAAAGGGAGGATCTTTGCATCCATTTTTTCTCTTCTGCAGAACCAGTTGCCATCTCTTCTCCATTACTGTTTCTCTGCTCTGATCTAAGAAGGACATCTCCAGAGAAGCCAGACAGATCTCCAGACATGCAGATATTTCCAGCAAGACGTGATAGTCATAAAATTGCTCCATGTGAATTACTAACCTTCTTGTAATGAACACACAAACAGAGCTACAGGCTCACTGTAATCTGAACTGTATGTATATCATTATAGAACATTAGAATATTACAGTGCACTGAAAAATTTTGAAGCTAAGAGTTACAATTTCTGGTCCTTCTGCAATATTGACTATACAAGATAACTTTTTATTAGAGTAATATTCCTTTTTTTCAAAGCTACTCTTTACAGTACATACAAGGATAATTTGTCTCTCTTTCCACCTTTATTTAGTAATCATATCTTTTCCACAGTGACATGCAAAACAGAGAGGGTTCTGTATATCTGAAGGGTTTCTTAGTGAGGTCTCTAGAGCCAGGTGATCGATTCACAATTTGCTGAATCATGATGCCTTCTTTTCTGCTTGGGAATGCTTACTGAAACACAAACTGTCATCCAATCAACACAGAAGTAATGAGTTAGAGAAGGAAGCCAACTTTCATTTGGGTTCATTCCTTCCCATAAATCCTTTCTTCTGGTAAAGGGAACAGAGATTACCTTGTGTAGTTCCTCTGGAGGGAATAGAAGAGCAGGTGTGCCCACCCTGGGGTTTTGTTCCTCCGTTGCCAGAGACTCCCATGAGACTTGACTGGCACATCTGTGAGTGCAGCCCTGCCTGAAATTGTTCAGCACACAAGGTGTCCCATTGGGTTTACTGCAACTGGAGAATTGAAATGCCCCATTAACTCAGAGCAAATTCGTATGCAGTGAGAGAAAATCTGTTACTGAGATCTTTCTTCATAGTTTTGCAATCCAGAAGTACTGGAGAACTCATAACCTTAGTGATGGCATTTTCAGACTTGAAAGTGAAGAGAAGGAAGATGTCTGCAAGGGAGTTCCCATAAAAAGGACAGTAAGACGTGGATATATTTGTCATTCTTTATCCTTTCAAATTAAAAGGTAAATGCTGAAGACATCATATACATATACATATACATATACATATACATATACATATACATATACATATACATATACATATACATATACATATACATATACATATTTATTTAGATTTAGAGATATAAAAATATCTAACAGAGAGTGAGAAAGGAAAAGAAATGGAAGAAGTATGTAGGCATCTTTTCAAGGATCCTGCTAATGACCCTTGCCGGGTCACTCATTGTGAGGCAATCTCCATGGTTCTGCTGGAAATTACAAATAAACAGATAAAGTATTTAAAGGGGCTTTTAGTAAAATATGTAAGGAACTCAGGTAGGGAATGTGTAGAAAAATTTCTAGGCCTGTAGTTTCTTCATAAGCAAACTCCAAAATAATTAGCCACAGATATTTTGTTTATTACAGCTTTCAGATACAGATACAGATGTTTTTCTCATTCTTGGTGTGAAACTTAGGCAAGGGTGTGTATGCTTTGAACGTAACTCCAAGACTGAATGCTGATAGACTCTCCTTGCCCTTAGCAGCTAGTCATAATGGTAGTCCATGAACTGTGTTAGTCCTTTAGAATTGTAACACCATTCTTACCTCCTTCCCTTCCTTTCCTGGAACATGGGAAGGAAACACTGCAGGATAGAAAGAAGCTGGTTGCATCTGAACAAAAGATTTTGTGTGATGTCACCTCACCATGCCTTGACAGTTCAGATGAGGCGGTCCAGAGAGATGCCAGCAGAGATGTGAGATGCCAGGACGAGTTGTGGGTGAGAGCTGGTGCAGGAAAAGTGCTGCCTTGCAGAGCTAGCATCCAGCAACTGTGCCTGAATTTTCAAGTGTATCGATCCTCATGCTTTTGTTTCTGCAGTCATGTTCCTTGTTTCCCCAGCTGAAGAATATGAGTACTATGTACTGACGTTATCTTCTATTGCTTCCAAGCAGTTCTTCACCTTCTTATTTAACTTATGTCTTCTTTCCAAGCGAGAATATCCAGGTTTCGGTTGGATCTATTTTAAGGTGAATTAATTAACCAGCATAATAATACATTCCTGCTTTTATCTATTTAATTTGTTTTATTCTAACATCATTTTACTGACATTTAACAATGTCAGTAATAAGCATTTCTTCTCCCAACATCCATATTTTCATTGCAGGGAAACTTACCTCCTGATTATCGGATAAGCCTGATTGATATTGGATTGGTGATAGAGTACCTGATGGGAGGAGCCTATCGCTGCAATTACACCCGAAAGCGGTTCAGAACACTTTACCACAATTTGTTTGGGCCCAAGAGGGTAAGAGTAATAACCCAAGAGGGTTCTTTGCCATCCTCATGACTGCACCAACTGGCAGGGATTGCCATAGCTTCTTACATTGTTCCAGGCTGGTGGGATGCAGTGCACACACTATTCATTCTACAGATTCATTTCCATTACATGCATTGCAGTTTTCTCACCATAATGCATCACAAGCCAGACACTGATACAAGCTATGGTTTTTATTAATTTAATGAAAAAATTACTGCATTCTGCTGCCCTGCTGAAATCAGCACATAAAAAAGTCTCCTCTGACTCTGAAACCTGTAATTATGAGTACTCACAGCTTTTAAAAGACAAATCTTTTGACCTGCACCAATAATACTATAATTCTAACTCCCGAGTTAGAATTGAAAACTGATGCATTGTTAGATGCATTCCTATCTCATGGCTCATCTCCTGATTGTGATCTGAAGGTTTCAGGGCAGAGAAACCCATAACTCAAAACTTGTTTTATTTTTTTGATGTGGGTCCAGCAATCATTGGGTTCATGGCAACACCACTCTTAAGTATTTTTATGGGTTCCATGTTTGATAAGTTATGCCACTGTGAACACAAAGTAAGGCCTTTCTAAAACACAAAAGATGTTTATTGTTATCCATATTGCCATTGACCCAATCCAGCATGAATAGGAGTCTGTTTAGCTCCTTCCAGTAAGATTTGTAGTTCCTTCTTTGTCTATTTTTGCCTCGCATTTGAGATTTTAGCAATACACAGCACTGAAAGTATTGGCTATCCATAGCAACAGCTCTGTGAAATGCTTGCAGGCAGCTACCTAAAATGGGCTTATTTGTTTCCCTATGCTTTTTCTTATGATTCTTCACATTTGAAGAATTATAAGAAGTGATTGTAGCTGGTGGGAGAGACTTCCTTCCCATAGTCACTCCATTGAGAAAAGCATTTGAGCAGTGATTTCACCAACACTGAACCAACACACAGAGCAGCTCCACAACAGTCAATAAAAGTGTTCCAGGGCAGTGGCCAAAACACTGATGTACTCTAGAGAAATCCATTCATGCCTTATCAGTGGTCCCTATCACTTTTTTGCTAGAACAGCCCTAACCAGCAGTAATTTGTACCTGAATCCAAATGTATGTCTTCTGTTGTGGTTTTGGTGAAAAACTTGTCAAACTCAAGTTTGAAATAACTACATATATATAATTATTTGATTGGTGCAGGTGTATATATCTACTATTACATTACACTAAATTATATTACATTATATATATAATCTATATTTTATTATATATTCTACATCACTCTACATGCACGTGTACATATGTGCATACGTATACAAAAATAGCTGTGAAAAATTCTGTGAGAAATAACATTTTTCTAACTTTTTTTTGAACAGCCAAAAGCCCTGAAGCTGCTGGGAATGGAGGTAGGCAACCTGTGACAAATCTTAATGCCTTTTCATTCTTTGACAAATATAAACTGTATCCAGATAATGTTTAAATTCACTGTAATGAAAGCATGAATAGTATTTTTCATCCAGATAACTTGTTTACACAAGGGGCAGATTAAGAAACATTTCTTAATAAAAGTCCAGGAGATACCTAAAGAAAAAGAGTGCTCTGCCCCAACTATGGATCTTTTTGGATTTTTGCTCAATAAGAATTAAACAAAATGTTTCAGTCTGGCAGGGCAAGCAGAATTTCAGTCAGATAGCATCTACCTTGCAAACATGTTCAGAGAAATTTAGCACTCACAGAGAATGATGCAGAAATCTTTATACAAGTCAAAGTTATCTCAGTTTTATTGGCAGTTTTGGCTACCCTGATGCTTCAAAGGGATAGTATTTTCATGTTTGTTTATTTTATGCAACTTTCATTTTTCTCTCCATAGACACAGGACAGAATAGGTCAGCTCATCTGATAAAAGCAAAATACTAAAATGAGAAAGAAACTAAAGGCAACAGAAACAATAAAGGGATAGAGAAGGAAGGAATAAACATGCAGAAAGGGAGTAAAGAAGGGAGATTGCTACCTTTGTAAGGAGATAAAGGGAGAAAAGACAAGAATAAGCATAGTGGAGTCTTCAGCAGATCAGAAAATTCCCTGGATATATTCTCTCAAAGTGAAAAGAGGCGGATGCATTACAGCAGATGTTATATTTGCAGTGAGCTGTTAGCTTTATTTTAATGGTGACTTTTCCAAAATGGTTCTGGATATGGTGTGGTTGTACTGTCTCTTATAAGGGCAATTCAGAGTGACAGTCCAAGGCTCTGTTTCCCTGTTTACAGGCTTCTTAATTACAGTGCACACACCAATACCTTTCTTGTTGTTTGTCTATGTTAAACATATTGCCTAAAAAATTATGAATGGGCTGGCCTGCAGAAAACATGTTTGACATCTTAGGTACTGATTTCAGTGAATTGTGTGAATTGATTCAGTTCCTTCACTGACAAAAATATTTCAATACCCACAGGATGATGTCCCTTTGCGTCGAGGGAGAAAACCAACAAAGAAAAAAGAAGAAGAAGTTGATATTGATATGGATGACCCTGAGATCAATCACTTCCCCTTCCCATTCCATGAGCTGATGGTGTGGGCTGTGCTGATGAAACGTCAGAAGATGGCCCTCTTCTTTTGGCAACATGGGGAAGAGGCTATGGCTAAAGCACTGGTGGCCTGCAAACTCTGCAAAGCCATGGCCCACGAAGCATCAGAAAACGACATGGTGGATGACATATCCCAAGAGCTAAACCACAATTCCAGGTGAATTTCCTTTTAAGTACACTTTCCTGAGGGGAAGAAAAAACAAAACAAAACAAAACAAAAAACAAACAAACAAACACAAACAACCAAAAAAAACCCCAAAAAAGCCAAGGGAAGAGAGATTTCTGAACCTGACAAAAATGTTCTCATCTGTACCTTGCTTTCATTTCTAACTTGTAGAGGAAGTGCAGTCCCTTTACAGAAAATCTAAATGGCTCTTTAAACAATCTGCCAGAGTAGTGAAGTTGTTAGCAATATAACTTCTGAAATGAGAAGATGTCAAGAAGACTGTGAAATATCTATATTGCTTATGTACTCTCCCTGAGGCCTCAAGAGTCAGTCTGCAACGTTTCTCTGTGCTTTTTCAGGACCCTCTGTACATACCGAGCTGAGCAGTTATTGAAATCCTTATGAGCATAGTATTCAGGCAGAAGAGTTTATTAACCAAGAGGTCATGCTTAGATGAGCAAGACAAGATACTAGATTCCATAACAATCTTTCCTGATGTTAAAGTTTTAGAAATTTAGGATTTTAGAAAGTATATTGGACACTCTTCTTCCAGAAGGCTTGACTGTGAAGCCATGGGCAAACAGCAGAGAAACAATCCCCTAAGCTGCAGATAACCAGAGGATTTGAGTTAGAAAATGTCAGGGAGGTGGGCAGGGAGGTGGGAGCAGACAGCTGCTAAGTGTGGGTGCTCATCACTGCTGAGTTGGGGCACTTATTTATATGCCTAACATTAGCCACTCACATTAGAACATGTGGGTTTCCTTGTGTGGAGTCACCATCACGATTTGCATGACGGAAGGTGATGCGCCCCTTGCAGAGGCTGGTGGTTGCAGAGAGGCGTTTTGAGCACAGGACTGCGTGTGCTAGCAGGAATGAGCGGATGTCCCTCTGTTGCAGGGACTTCGGCCAGCTGGCGGTCGAGCTGTTGGACCAGTCCTACAAGCAGGACGAGCAACTGGCAATGAAACTGCTGACCTATGAGCTGAAGAACTGGAGCAACGCCACGTGCCTGCAGCTCGCAGTGGCAGCCAAGCACAGGGACTTCATCGCTCACACCTGCAGCCAGATGCTGCTCACTGACATGTGGATGGGTCGTCTACGGATGAGAAAAAATTCTGGCCTAAAGGTCATTCCTGTTTTAAAATAAAATCAACATTCTGAGAATTCTAATGGATGGTGACAGGGTTCACAGCAAATCTGTAATAACTGTCTAAAGTAACATTATTTCAAATGTTTATTTGCAGTGACATTAAGCAAGGTATATTCTTCCTGTATTCATTTTTTTAGCTGGGGCTTATCATAAGCCTAAGCCTAAGCACACAGCTTAGATTTTTTCATTCCCTTTCTTAAAGTCCCGTCCAGCATCATTTATTAGGATAAGAATTGAGTTAGGAGGTTAGTGTGTCACCACCCTGCCTGTATACTTGAGGAGTTTCTCACGAGTTTTAAAGATAAACGAAGGAAAAGGAACTGTAAGTGAATTAACCACTAGTGGAAGTGCTGATCTGACAACCTTCCCCAGAACAACCAAAGTAAGCAGCACAAATTTCCTTGCAAACCCTTGCAAATTTTCCTGGTGGCATCTGAAGAGACTCCTTTAGAGGGTCTAAAGGATAATTCACTTTTCAAAGCTGTTAAAGCTTTACTTCCACAGTTGGCAAAACTGCTAACAGTGCAAAGTGAATTCTGAGACGAATTTGAGTCCATGACATGTTTCACCAAAGCAGTCACCAGTCAGAACATACCCAGGAATTGCCTCTTCCTCCCAGATTACTGAGAAATATTTTCAGTGAAGGGATTCTCTCTTCTGCGCTAATTGCCTGTGTGAAAACTGGTAATTACTCAGCTGAGTTGCCATGTGAAAAGATGTTCAGTAATGGCAAGAAAGCTTAGGAGTACATGCACTGCTTCCAGACTGGCTCTTAATCCAGTGGCAGTGATGAATGAGAACAAGTGGCTGATAACATTCCTATGCAGGACCTGTGCATACAAGTTGTTCTGCTACAGATAGAAAACAATACCACGTTTTGAGACATTCCTACTACCTCTTTCCTGAACTCACAGGCCTATTATCCTTCAGAGGGACAGCTGCTTTGTTCACTGTTTGGCTTTGCAGATATTCAACCTATGTACATGGAGGGCAGTGCAGCATGTACTGGCTTCCTACTACACACATTACATTTTTCAGCACGCATTTCTTAAGCCCTAACACAGACCTTTATTTCATAATGCATAACTGAAGGTAACAGGCTCTGTTTCCTTTCTGCTTCTTCTAACACCAGGGCTTCACAAGAATCCTTTACTCACTTTCTAGTCTGTATTTTATTTCATTGAAGCTCATTAGCAGAACTTGTTTAAAGCTAAAGCAGGCTACAAGCTACATAAGGCAGCATGACAAAGAAATAAATTTGCAAGCATGAGTCACTGTTTGTTTCCCAACTTTTTTCCCTTTGAAACTGACAAATGATAGGAAGATTGAATGTAATTCTTTAGATTCATGCTGAGGATGTGTGGCACCAATGGAAGGGCTAGGGGCAGCTGTTAATCCTGCCTGCTCTTAAAAATAGCCTTTCTGTGAAACCAGGTCTGCCTGTAAGCTCGTCTCCCCGGACCCACCGTTTTGTGAGTGCAGGAGCAATGCAGGAAGCTTTTCAAAGGCTGGGTACAGCATACATAACTGCTCCTCATTTTGTACTTTGAATGCTTTCAACAGCACACAGGCTGTCTCCGGAAATGGAAAGCACAAACACCTTCCCTAACCTGCCAAGTTAACTATCTGGTTTCACTCTCATTTAGGAAGAGATTTATAAGAAAATAATTTTCCATTAAATTGCAGCATAACCAGGAAAAGTTATTGTGCCTGTGAATACAGACTTTTCTTTGTATTACTGTGATATCTATTCAGTTGTACTAATGTTTCAGCTCAAGCATTGTTCATTACTTATATATCCTAACAAGGTAATTTTAGTGGTTTCTATACTCCTGCATCTAAGAGGGGGAAGGCAGAAAAGAAAGAACTGTCATTACACAGATGCCTAGTTACAGAAACAAAATCAAAGGGGCCTGCATATCTATACACATCAGCATTTGCTTTTACTGGCTTTGCCTTATCTCCTCAGAGCAACACATAGTTACATTTCTTTGACTACAAGTGTGCATTAAGCATGGACACAAAGAGCTATTAACCCCCTCTGTAGTGATAAATACTCTCTGTGTGTCCTTCATACTGATATTTTGTATTATGTAAAATGCAGATATTTACAGGTCTGTACACCCACGTGGTGCCACCTACTCTTGACCTTATATAATATTTTGTAAATATATTCTAGTATGTAGCACTACACATCTGGTGATGCATAAGCAGATAAAACATTCAATAACATTTGCAGCAACATTAGTAAAAGTTACATGCTTTGATTCAGTACTCTGGTAACAGTACCCCCAATGGCAAATACTTTATTGTCCTAGAAACTCCCATTCACATGTATCTTTCTTTTCCTAAATCTCCTGAGGAAGTTGTTCCATTTGATGCTAAGTAACCTTTATGACCATAATGTGTTTTCTGTGATGATTATTGTTATCATTATTATTGCTTTAGGTAATTCTAGGAATTCTACTTCCTCCTTCAATCCTCAGCTTGGAGTTCAAGAACAAAGATGATATGCCCTACATGACCCAGGCCAATGAGATCCATCTTCAAGAAAAGGATCCAGAGGAACCAGAGAAGCCAGTGAAAGAAAAAGATGAAGAAGACATGGAACTCACTGTAAGTGCTCACAATTAATCATCAGCCTCAGTGCTGTCAATTTGTTATTCCTACTCCTGTAAGCATTGCAGATGATCTGGTGGTTAAATATAGCACATGATAGGATACTACTCTTCACACTCCCCTCTCCTCAATGGGACTCAAGCAGCACAAGTTGCCATCATTTTGCCTTCATGCTGCAGCAGTACATGGTGATGCTCTGCTGTGATATCCTCGTATTTTGACTCAATTTGATGCCATGTTGTCTGAACTAAGTGAACTAGATTTAGAAGCACTCAGCATTGATAGATGACTTCTCTGGTGGAAAAGGGCTCATCTTTGGTTAGAAATGCCCAAAGATCCATGGAAGACAGAGATTTTGTTTTTCTTTTAGTTGACTTCACTAGAAAGGAAGGAAGTGTGCAAACAGGCCAGAAAAAATATTAAAACTTACTCTAAGATTCTTTTTGTATTTGTGGTCATTGCCTTTCACATAAACACACGCCCAATTTTTAATCCACTGAAGACATTAGCAAGCAGCTAGACAGCTCCACTTCTACAAATCAACTGAATTGTGTAAAGAGGGACTTATCAGTATTAGTATCACAGCCTTTGAGGAATAATTTACACCACAAAGAATTGGACAGCTGAAGCTCTGAAAACTACACAAGTCATCTACCTCCTGTCTCTTGTTCTCACACTTTTTAGTTTGGGCAGTTAGGTATTACATCTGCCTTAGTCTAGTTTGGTTTGGATTTGTTTGAGCTTGATTGTGGTGTCTTTGAAAGGCTTAAAACTCAGCCCCAGTTAGTCAGGATAGAGGCATAGACATAAAAGAGATTTGCCTGGTTAACTTAAAAAACAAAAACAAAAAAACCCAGACTGTTTCCCACAGGCAAACAGCAGGAGCTGCCCGCAGGACCCCGACTGCAGGCAGGCAGAAGGACCTGCCTACAGGACCCAATATGCAGGCAAGCCGAAGGAGCAGCCCACAAGAACCACCTACAGGACCCGTTTGCAGGCAAGAACCTGGCTGTTGGGAAGGACCAGAAGCCAGAATAGCAGCAATGGGGCGTTCTCTGCTCATTAGCTATTGATTGCAATTTACTAACCCTTGGCTTCTGATCCCTTATGAAGTGCCTATTCAAATCAAATAAGCACTTTGCAAGCTGCCTCGTACCTGGCAATGGGGAGAAGTTTGGGGAAGATGTGTTTTCCATCTCACCGTAGTTATCCCAGCTCCTGGTTTCTTGTCTACAATACTGTTTCCTTTTTCCCTTCTGACTCCTGCTGCAAGTAAGTGATGTGTCCAGTGGATCTACTATTCCAGTGAACCTTAGATGTTCCCTTTCTGCTCCTGTCTATGTGCTGACAGTCCTATTGCTCTGTCCTGTCATTGACTCTTCTCATAATTCCTTCAAATTCAGTGTATCAATCTAGTGAAATTTCAGACCCTTGAAACATTTCTATAAAATAATATTTCTTCCTGTGGAGTCCAGCAAATTTGGAAAGAATACATTTGGTACAGCACTGCTCACTTATTATTTCTGCATATAATCTATACCATGCTGTAGAATTTCTGACACAGCTGCTTAACTCAGGTGCCCCTCAGCAGTGAGGAGAGACAAATTATGGCAGAGAGAACTTTGCATGTCTATAGTTAGATCCCACAGGCAGTTACATTTGGTCACCTGACATATTTTGAATATAAGAAAATACTTTAGACTGAAGTTTCATGTTGTTCCAGCCATAGTCAAATGGTCTGGCATAATAAAGGTCAGGTTTCTATTCTACTGATCAGAAGATGCCTAAAATATGTTTTGGGAAGTGCCTTTGTGAAGTTTCCCCTTAGCTGTGATATCCTTTAGTATATTAAGGATACTTTATAAATACTTCAATAAGATTAATAATTTATTGTGCTGGGATATCATAAATGTTTAATCCATTGCTGAACTTTGAATCAACAGACCAGTCGCTCACCTAATCTGAGCTTTGTTCAGCACAAAGATTAACAAACAAAAGTGATGCTAAAAACCACCTTTTTTATCTCAAAGTTTCTTTTCTGGCAAATAATATAATTGAAGTAATCTTCCTGATTCTCCTAATCATTCCCAATGAATACTTCTGAAGTCTCTGTATTCATCATGTTCCACCCATATTCTCTCTGCTAAAATGAAGATAAAGAGGTCTTGTCTAGGCAAAGTCTGTTCATTGATTTCCTGTGTGTCTTGCACTGCTAAGCCCAGGTGACTAAAGACAGGCCAAGGACTAAGATTCTTCTTCTGTACTGCACTTATGCAGAGTGCATGAGGTGCAGGGCCAATGTGATCTTTTCCCTATTTTACACCACATTTGCACAGAATAATGTGATCAGCAGACTACAGCAACAGTGACATTAGGTCTCCACATGAGTGCATCTGCCTGCAAGTATGTATTTGCTTTGTGCTCCTCTTAAAGGGTCTGGTGGGTAACAGAACATATGGATATACTATGAAGAAGTGTTTATTCACTGTAAGCTATTTGTTATTCACACCTGCTTTTAACTTTATAACAGATACATGAGAGTGATAGGCCCACATTTCTTTAACACCTAGATGCTAAGAAACAGGCTTATAGCAGCTACTCACAAAAACACATTTGAATACTGCTCTCATCAGTTCTCCTCAGCACCAAAAAATTTACCACAGTTTATGTATGGAGCTGACAGTGATTAATTCTGAATATTAAACACAGAGGAGTAGAAGGGCATTGAAGATCTTAAGGCCGGGGATATTTTCTATTTGTACAGTGTCCTAATCAAGACCTTAATTGCTGAAATTCAGGTCAGTCAGAAACCCCAGAAGTCTCCCTTTCTCCCAGAATAACCCTGATTCTGGAAGCCATAACTAGGAGCATCCTTAACTCTATTCAGTGCCTTATTGTTTGGGTATTAGAGCTTCCAGGTAAATGGGTTTATTTCAGAACACAGAATAACTCATCTAAGTCCTTCAAAAGGTGCTTCCGTTGTTGTAAAATGATCAGAGCAATCATTTTGCTTTGATTTCACACAATGAATAGGAAGTCTCCACTTCCATGAGCATCAGTGAGTTAGTCGAAGAACTTTTCAGCAGCAGCAAAGCTAGTTCTATTGGCCTCTGGCATCACATAAATTCATCTGTAGTACATGGACTTAGCCTTTTCTCAACGGCAAGAAATAACCAGTTATTAACCATATCACTAAAAATAGAGTTCTTAACACAGAAAACTCTGATGATCCATGTCCTGGTGCCCCCAGCCCTTCCCTGTGGAAGACTGCTTTCACAGCATCTTACATGCCAGCAGCAAGGCACCCCTTCAGCTCATCTGGAAAACACTGGGAGACTCTGCTGGTGGTCTTTAGGTAGAAGTGCTGACTCTCTCCGTAGGGAGAGGTTCTCTCTTCCTCCAAGGAGTTTGGAAGCCCTTCATATCACCACCACCACCACACCTGTGCCCTGGCACAGTCTGTGTTCTTTGCCCTGCTCAGCAGACAGGATGACTGAGCTCCTGACACTTTAGTTCTGTTTCTCTGTGCTCACTGTAACCACCAAGCACGTGCAAAATCTACTTTTACACATCTGTAAATAAAAGACATTAAAACATTTTTCTACCAGTGTTTCAGGACAGTAATCCTAGAACAGCTACCATGGGGGCAGCACTTTCACGCACAGTGTAGGATCCAGCGGGGTGTGCTGAGGGAGGTGTCTCCACACTGCTATGTATCATTTCCACACCAGTTCTCTGTGAACTGGGGTAAGTCTCTATATAGCATGTAGATTTCACTCAGGATTAAATTGGAAGAGCCTGCATTCATTCCAGAAAGACTCAAATTACTGTTATTTTATTATAAAACACATGAATACAGTATAGGATCGTTAAGATATATTAAAGCAAAAATGTACTACCCAGAGCTCTCCCCTGATAGTTCATTATCAGCAAACAGTCCTCAATTACATAAAACAAAATCTGGCCCAACAATAGCAACAAAAACCAGATTAATAAAATCTCTATGTAAAAACTATGCAAACATCAATCCCCTCAGGCTAAAATGATGCAGTTGTACTGTACTTCACAATGAGGTTGAGCTGCTGTCGAGTTTACCTTGCATGACTCATGGTGAATCATGGACAAAATCATGTATTAGAGAAAGAGATGCCGCCCACACAGAGCAGTGTGTTGAGTTGTTCCCACCCTACTGCATCCCACTCCAAGGAAAACATTTGTTCACATTTGGGTCTGCAATTATTCTGTTAAAGAAGTTACTTAGGTTATTTCTGAATGTTTCTGATGCGGAAGCTTTCCAGTTTGTTAATACTGAGGTATAATTAACAGTCGGGAACATCAGGTCAAACCTAATCCCTAGCCATCTCAGAGAAATTCCCCATCTGTAGCATGGGGGAGGGGAGAAGCTAGTATTATATGATAGAATTAATTCAAAAATAATTATAACAAGATAAAACTACGGCACCATTATCAAGAAGAAAGCAGTAGCAAACAGGAAATCAGAATGCTAAAACATAAGTACAGATATTGAAAGAGCATTATCGTAAAAACATCCACAACTCACTGATTTCATTGAGAATTAAGTCTGTCTCAGAATTTGTAAATTTGAAAAATTGGGAAGGAATTGAACTCTGTAAAATAATCCCTTTCACTAAAGCACAGCATTGCTCATTTGTTAAAGCAGGCAGCATTCATTTTCATTCTGCTGCAAAATTCCTGAGCAGCAGAGGACAGCAGAGACAAAGGTTTGGGAAGAGCTACAGAAAACTGTAGCTCTAGATGGCAGTTTTCCCTGAACAGTGTCAGTAAGTAGAGAGAAGCAAGCAAATTACTACCTTCTTGGGCTATAGTGTTCCCAAAGCATTCAGATCATATTCAGTTCTTTTTTCCCCCCCCAAAAAAACAGTCAATGATATGGATCAAAGGATCACTGATTTTGTGGAGTTCAGGAAATGATATCTTCTGTGGAGATTGTGTAACTTCTGCTACAGTAGTTATATTCAGTAAGTCTCATAACCATAAAAACCTCTGCTTCTCCTCTGCTTAACAGCTGCTTTGTCTTTTTCCTTTTTTATAAAAGTCTTGATGGACTCTCAAAGAGTTTTAGATGCTCTGTGAGAACCAACAGAAGGTGCATTTAAATTTTATATAGGTAATGTTTTATCTGTATTTGTGGAAATTAGATTCAGCCATTAAAGCTAAAGGAAATGGGTTAACTTGACCAAAGCAGGCTTTAGTTTTTGAGATAGTCCCAGCAGGTTAGTTTCAGTGCAATGTACTTCTGTCCTGAATCTTTGTTGTATTTTATTGAAAATGTGTACAGCAACATCTATGTGTTGTCACATTCAAGAATATAAGGGCTCACAAGCAAAGTAATAATACCAGAGGAAAAACTAACTGCATAAATGAAATTAAAGAGAAGGAGCCATGTGGGACCAAGCACAGTCCTCATAATGTTACAAATATCTATACTAAAAAAAGTTTATCATTACAAATTACTATTTCACATGAAAAATACCTATATGAATAGCTCCACATGAGGCTGGAAAAAGGAAGAAAAGGTCTTACTTTTAAATATGTGAGAAATGTATCACCAGTTCCTGCAGGGCTCTAGAACCTGATCAGATAGCTCACCTGAAGCCAATTAGTTAAGTTTGTGCTGTACATCCTGTTGAGTTGGAGAGCACAGATACAGAGACCAGAAGGATCTTTTTATAGAAAGACCATATGTCTGGCATCTAATTGTTCCCTTAGCTTTCCACCATTTAAGTTGCAGGTGAATGCCATCTTCACGATGGTGAAAGTTTGCTTCAGTTAACAAAAGCACAAGAGTGCCTTCATCTACTTGTAGAAAAGCATTTTAAAAGCATTGGAACAAATGCATCATCATGCAGTCCCCACGTATTTAGATTTGTCTCAATTCTTGCAAGTATTTCATGTACAGTGCCACATTCCAGTGGTGCATCCATAAACTAAATAGTAAGAACTTGCAAAGGGCACAGTGAGCTAAAATCCAGTATTAGTCTACTCTTCACTAAATAACTGCTTCAGAATGAACATTGAATAAGTCACATTGGACTTCAAATACAAAGGAACTTCTTTTAAGCACTAACTTCAGTGTTTGAAGTTTAGTCCTTCCACTTCTCTGCAGCTGATAATGAAAATTAAGGGCAAACAAACAAAGTATTACCTTCTTTTGACTGCTAGGTTTGCAGTCATAGCTGAGGGCTCCTTATGTATGTGTTTCTTGAGCACAGTGTAGCTTCTCTGTGGGTCTGAATTGCAATGGTAACCGTGAGATCAAGCTTAGCAAAGGCATTGCATGAGCAGTCTGGAACTTCACTGTGGAAGGAGCTACAATCATGCACGTGGATATTTCAATAGAGCTTCACTAGTAAGTCCTTTTCCATCCATGTAAGCTTCACTGTGGGATCATGGCCTGGGACAGGTCCAGTGATTAACTTTAGAAGTGCCACTGTCTTCTTTGCTTCTAGTTCAGTGACTACGAACTCATCTATTCCTTGTTGTTCCCTCTCAATCTCAGCCTTACAAACTTATCTTATTTTAAAACCAAAATTTACCTGTTTTCTGTCTGCATCTGTTTATTGTATAGAAGTACACCACAAAAAGCTGTTGTCCAATAAAAGTGTTTCTGTCCATACAGCAAAAAGGAGAAATATTCTCCACATCTTACTTTTTGTTCTCTAGTCAGAAATTCCACTCTAAAGCTTAGAGTTGAGGCTAAAGCTATAGGTTTCCATTTTCAAAGTATTAAACAGAAGCCTTCCTGCAAAAAAGATCATTTGAAAGCAAAGCATTTTACGCCTACTTGGTTTTATCTAGAGATCAAGAACAGTTTCCTTTTGACATTTTACAAAATAGTGTAATTTTTCTTTCACAAAGAAAGAAACACAAATATATCATTTCTTGTAGGCAATGCTGGGACGGGGGAATGGAGAGTCCTCAAGAAAGAAAGAGGATGAGGAAGTTCAGAGCAGGCACAGAATGATCCCCATCGGAAGAAAGATTTACGAGTTCTACAATGCTCCCATCGTGAAGTTTTGGTTTTACACTGTAAGAAATCTTTCCTATTGTATTAATGATGTTTATACAAATACTGGCGTTGGACTAAGGTCATCTTTTGTGTTTCATTAATGTCTACATTTATATGTATTGGAGGGCTTTCATTGCAAACCTTTCCATGACTTTTAAAGATTACCATCTTACCATTCAGGAAGTTAATGGCTAAAATTTGAATGATTGTGTATGTTCTTCTTTAAATAAAATGGTAAGGGGCAGTTTGCTCGAATGTTCCCAAGGAATTCCCTATAGGAGAAATCAAAATAGGATTGCTTCCACTAGTAAGCCCATTGGAAGGCTGGTCTGAGCCAGATTATGAATTATCTAATAAATGATGAAAAAAAGAGAGCATTTCTTCCCTTGGAAATTTTTGGTTTTGTTTGTTTGTTTTTTGTTTGGTTTTGGAGTTTTGTTGATGTTGTTTAATTCTTGGTTTGGGTTTTTTGGCCAATCTGTGGAGTTTTTCTCAGAGAAAATGTGTATGTTAAGTACACACAAGTTGTCAAAGACATGATTGACAACCAATTTTTCAGGGAAAAATTAGGTTAAGTCAGTATATTTCCCCTGTGTTAGACAGAAATGGACCTTCCAGAAGAAACAGAAAAAATTATGTCATGTATTTCAACTACAGTAAAACAGTACCAAAACTTTAGAGGGTTTTCTCACAGCTAAATTAATAACTGCTATATTAAAGTTACTATGTAGATAAAAAGCTTTTCGACAATTAGTCCTTAAGAGTAGATATTAATTATTCATTATCAAGCTGGAAGCAGGGATTAGAAAGAATTCCATTAAGTTCTCTTCTAAATCAGATGCTATTCAAAACTTGGATGATGGAGTAGTGATTAGTTATTATTTTAGTTAATATTTAGTTATTATTAGTTATTTTGCAAATTGCAATAAAATTTAGAAGGATAAGACTAAAAAGATCACAGAAAGTAATCACTTCATTCTTCCTGGCTGGACCCAGCTCAGCTTCTGCATCATGTGGACTGGTTTGAAAGACCCCAGAAAAGAAGAATGTTTCAAGAGGTTTGTAAAGCTTGACTTAAGGGGAGAGATAAAGGAAGTGAGACTGTTTCTTCTGTTAAGAAAGAAAAAAAAAATGTCTGAGGAAGGAGTGTAACAGTTTTCAAATATGTGTAAGTACCTCCACTTGCTGAATAGGACAAAAAAATAACACCTTAACAGTTCTAGGTAAGAAGTTAAGAAACAGTTTCTAACTGCTCCAAGAAGTACTGTCATGAACAGTGTGAGGACATGCTAGATTTTCCATTATTAGTGATTTCTAAACTATCTTATCAAGACATGCGTCCATTATGGTACACTGGAATTAATCCTGCCTCAGCCCAATGGAATTGGCTAGATGGTTCTAGATGGTTTCAGGTGGTTTTTCCCAGTAATATTTTCCATCATTCTGCTGAAAGCACAGCAAATCACAAATAATGGATCCTTCTGCAAGTGACGTCTTATAAGAAAAATTGCCTTGCAGACACTGGGAACAACTCACATCAATCGAGCCTTAACTGTGGTGGATGCTGTAGAATAGAAGGTAGTTTAATATCTTGGAGTAACTTATTGCTCAGGTCGGTGGCCACTGAACATTAATCAAGCCCACAAGTCCAGAAACTACTCATCAGCAGACTAGTCTCATTATCAATTGCAGCATGTATTATGTACAAACAGGAAAGTCTTTACACTGCAAATGGAAAGAAGCATCCTGGCTTTCCCTATTTGTTCAATTTTTAAATGGGAGAGAGAAATCAATATTGCATTTCCATTTAGGCTTGTTCCTACAATTTTATGTCCTGAGGCAGGTCTCAATCAAGGTCATTTATTAAAACTGGATCTTGGATATGCTGAACCTGGAGAGCAAGTTAAGGTGGATTTTGGGTGCCATGCTTAACCTGTAGTGTATATTGAGAACTCCTGGAGACTAAAAGCAAAACGAGTTTCAGATAAGGTTTAAAATTGCACAGCCTATCACAATTTTGCAAATACATAGGCACAAATGTTGTTCATGGATTTCAAAAGAAATCGTTCAAATTTTATGTTCCACAGTCCAAAATGCATGTAAAGGGTCCTATGGCTATTGCATACCACTTAAAACAATTTGAATATTCTGCATTTACCTATCCCTATTACTATATAGCTGTATTTACCTTCATTCTTCAAATACGGAAGAGTGAGTTAAATTTAAAAAAAATAACATTTGGCTCAGCAGACTCAGTATACAACTTTTTCTCAAAAAAAATCCCAAAAGAAACCAAAAAAAAAAAAAAAAAAAAAAAAAAAACCAACACAAGTAAACCAACAAACAACTCCCCACCAACTTTAGCCTTTCTCTCAAGACACGCAGCAATTTCAGAAGTGGACTATTCTGTTCTGTTTTTTGGCTGTTGCATTGGAAACCATGATGTAAATGTTTCTTCCCACAGACTGCTTGAACAGAAGAGGATGATCTTCTCCTACTGTTCACTACTCCCACTGGCCTAATATCAAAAGAGAAAAACTCTTCCATCAGTGTTAAAATAGTGGAACACAAAGTAGACATTTATTGGAAGCTTCTAGGTATCCTGGTGGTGATGTGCTCATATGGCATTGGATTTCTACAATTTTTATCAGTTTGACAAATTAGCATAACTAACAAATACTGTCCAATTAGAAGAAGAGGTGGTTAGGTTATTTTTCCCGGGTACTGTCCGGAATTGGTCTAGGGCTTCTTTGCCCCATTTCATATTGTATCTCCTCAGATTCTGACTGGAAAACAGAAGCCTGCTCCTTGTCAGGCTTCTTCTTCTTAAGAATAAAACAGTATTTCAGGAATGTGCTAGAAGGTTAGCTTACTACTCTGAAATCTAAGAGAAACGGTAGCAAAAATTCTAAGAACAGTAGAACTATTTAATAGTAGTCTGAAAAAGTTATAAATAGATGAAAAATACATAAAAAGCAAAATCTTTAGGCACCACTGCTACTAGCATTAACTGAGATATTAGCAGGGACCAAGAGGCCACATTTCTATCTCTTCTGAAGAGTAAAGCTGCAAAGGAATTGAGCCCCAAGTAAAAGTCATCTTTTAAACATTCTTTAATCTTTAAAATCTTTAATTTTTTAACATTTTTTAATCTTTAAAAGAGCTTTGCCCTAAGTTTTGCATTTTGGGACCACTTCAGTTTATGATCATTTAATTATTGCAATCATTCAGAAAAGAGGAGGGTGACCTTCTTCTTGAAGCAGTAACCTGTTTGTACAATTTCCAGGTTTGTACTCTACCACAATGAGTATTCCAGTGTCTTCTGTAGAGTAGGTCTCCATCCATAGAAGGCCTGGGTGCAATCCACCCTTAAAACTTCTTAGCAGGCACTCCTTTCCTTAGTTTCCTTAAGTACTACCCTCAACAGTGACAATGGCAGCTGCTAGCTCTTTGTCAAGGCAGGTAAAAGCAAGAAAAGGCAGGGTTCAGCTACTTCTCTAGCAGCCCTTTTAAAGGATCTTGAGTACCAGCACTAACAGCTGCACTGAAGTATGACCATAGCGTTGTATCAGTGTAGCCTCCTGGAAGGTGAGAGCAAATTATAAATGTGGGGAGGGAGAAGGAGGATGTCATTCACTATCTGAAGGGCTGTGTTTCTTGGGTTAAAGTGGAGACATTTCAGTATAATTTTACTCACAAATCAAGATTCTTTTCTCTTTTGTCAAAAAAAAAAATGTTTTGCAATTTTGAGTAAGTTTAAATTGACATAAAGAAACCTGCCAAAACTAAAACCAGAAAAAGTCAGTGTTTCAAAAGAAAATCCAGGAAGAAGCAAAACCCCGTAGTTACAGTTCGATTCCTGCAGTTTCTGTCACTTTTGAAACCTCAGTGTCCTTATTCTTTTGCCATACTGATTGCAGGTGCTCACCAAAGGCTGCTGAAGCAGATCAGAGTGGATTTCCTAATAATTACTAATCGATAAGGTCTAAGAGGAGGGTTAAGTAACAGTGTTTTTGCTCAGTATTAGAAGGTGCAATTTCCTTTAGGGAGGTGTGTATTCAGTTCTTCCTGCCCAAACAGAGGTTCTGCTGACTCTGATGCCTTTAGTTTTAAGTTTTCCTACTCTCCTTGGATATGCTTTTCTGATGTGTTAGGGTGATGAAGACAAAACAGTCCTATTCTAGTTAAGAACTCAAGGACAGTTTCTCTGAACTTCAGGCCCTAAGCACAAACTACGTGGAAAGGTGGAGGATGGGTTCATGCAAATTAACCAGAACCTAGAAAAGTGTGAGATTTTGTGACCAACCCCCTCCTTTCCTTCCATCTTGGAGCCATCCGGGCAGGGGCCACGACTGTGGCACTTGTATTGCTGGGCTGTGGCTTTTGTAGGCCTTTCGTAGGCCTCACAATAAATACTCATTTTATTCTCCTTAATTCTCTGTGTAGCCTCTGTTCCAGCTCCTCAAGGCATCAACTCCAGGGTCACCCTAAGTGCTGGTCTACATCAACATTGCTCTCCTTTTCCTTTAGGAGTGGTAAGGGAAGAGCAGCCTCTAGACTTGCGCATTGCAATCCATTATCCCTCACAAACTGAATCACAAATGAGATCATTTCCTCCTCTGTTTTATGCAGATGAGAAGTAATGCTTCAGCAGTCTGGTTCCTCTGTACTGATAGTTATGTAAAAGCCACAGTCCTGTGGCTTTTACAAAGAGTGGAAGTGACGTTCTCTAACAAATACAATAGGACTATAAACTCTATTCTGTGATGAGCAGAACGGAATCCTACCCAAAAGTCTCAAGGCCCTCTGTGGTTGTTTCAGCTTACATGTGATCCCATGTACGCAACAGTGAGTAACAGACAGTTGAGAGATAGAAATTGAATGTAAATATAGATGTATGTATTACAGCTTTCTGTCACAATGACTAAATGTTCGTGCACAGAACTGAGTCATCTTTTCTCTGACTTATATTTAGCCTTAAGATGCATTTTCTTATAGGGCTGCTGTTTGACAGGCAAAGTAGACAGGCAGTTGGATTCTGGCCTCCACAAGCCAGAGTGGAAACCTTGCTACAACCTATGCTCCAGAATGACACTTGGGTTTCCCTGAACTTTATTAACTTCATGATGCAATTTGCCTGACCTTTTTTTGGCAGACCATTTAATTACATTCAACATACAGAAAAACAAAGAAAACGAAATTTAAAACTGAATTCACACTTTCATCTGGATCAAAAATTAACCTGGAAGGTGAATATATTGGAAAGGAAAAGAAAAACATTCATACTTAAAAATTTGCAAAAATTATAAGGCAGATGAATGCATGGCTATGCCCAGCTCCTGGCTGCAGCAGTGTGAGTAGGAGTAGTAGTGTTTTGGGGAGGATATATGCTATAGATTATTCAGTGCTACACTGGGTAAGAAAGTCTCTAATGATGTCTCAAATCTGGACTCAGAATGTCAGACTCAGCCCAGATTAGGTGAATGGCAGGGGGAAAAAACAAGGAGAGGTTTAGAGGACTAAATGCTTTTGGAAGTAGATGACGGAGATAGATACCTTACTTTATTATGTAGTTGAGACAGTGGTATTAGAATTGCCATCACTGTGGGATGGATGATCCAAGAGAACTGCATTAATAAAGCTTTTTTGAGGAGACAGGTATAGCTGGAGATACATGCATGTTTTTGCAGATTTCATACAGCATGTGACTTAATATGAGCTTTTTCAGACAACCCAGGACAGTCTTATTTTTCCTTTGCCGGTGAAACCCTGGTTGTAGCAGAATCGGGAATATCAAATCATATCCAAGAAACATAGATAATGACAACTGACTTTTTTTCTTTACAGCTGGCCTACATAGGCTACTTGATGCTGTTCAACTACATTGTGTTGGTGAAGATGGATCGCTGGCCATCTATTCAGGAGTGGATTGTCATCTCATACATTTTCACTCTGGGAATAGAAAAAATGAGAGAGGTAAAGTCTCCCTAGACAACTAGGAATGAAAAAGGAATAAGCATGGATTTTGAGTTTTTTTTTTTTTCATTTTAATATCTGTTATTATTCTTTTTCTCAGTGTACATTGTTATGAATGAGCTTATCATAAAATTGCATCTTTTTTCAGAGAGGCAGATGGACTGTTAAAAAAAAACAAGAAGAAAGATCTATCTTCTTTAATTTTAAAATTAACAGTTTCTTTTTCTTCTTCTCTTTCTGTCTTTCTCTCTCTTTCTCTCTTTCCTTCTTTCCTTGTCTTTCTTTCCTTATTTCCTTCTTCTCCCACAAAATTTCTATGTTAAAATTTCAGTGTGATGCTCGTTTAATAGCATTCACAAGTAGCAGGGTGATCTTCTGACAAATCTTAAAGGTCAGCTAAATTCCTTAAAATGTGGCTCTTGAAAATTTTCATTAATTTGTCAAGCAATAGTGTGCATCCCCCTAAGGATGCAAAAACAGACGTATAGAACGTTTAAGGTAGCACTCAGTCTATAAGGTAAGTGGCTCTGTTAACCCTGCCCCTCATGGTCTCTCCCACCTAACGCTCTCCTCTTTCACTTAGCCAAAGGTGCACTTATTCCACAGTGACACCAGAGGCTCAATTCAGCCCTAATGTGAGTGAATGGAAGTCTCATTGACCTCAGCTGAAATAGCACATTTGTACCCCTGGGCTGAATCTGTTACCAGTTATGTTTGTGCATTCTGAAGCCAGTGGAGGACTAGACTAAAAAGGGACTCACAACACTCAGGTTTCAAAGATGGGTTTCTGACACTGTTTGGTAAATGCTATGTTATAAATAAAAGGAAGAGAGAAAAAGACACTGCTTGAGTGGCCCATGAGTATACATCATTCAGCAAAAGAGAAGAGAAAGCAGTGGCAGTAGCCACACAAGGACTCTGCAACACTGATGCAGGTAACGCACTGCTGGCTCAGCAGGTGGGAGATTGCAGACAGGAGTTGTGTGAGCTGGTTTTTGTCTAATCATTCACCCCAAACTGTCCTTTCCACAAAAGTTTACCAAGAACATTTCCCACAATTGATTTCTAAGCAGATGTTGGAATTGTTCACGGATGAGCCTAAAGTTCATTCTAAAAACAAGTTACATGAATGACATTCATCTTCTTTGAGGAACTTACGAGTTTGCTCAAATGTTCTTGGGCTAAATATAGAAAATTAAAAGCAACAGCTTGCTAACTCACTAAAAGATAGGACTTATTCATGGAGATGACTTGAATAATAGTTTTAAGAGTCATTTGGGAAAACAATCAAGTTTCACAAATGATCTTGCGAGCAGAATGACAATAAATTCAAAAGTTAAGGGGGCTTTTTGTGACCTTTATTCTTGGCTGTGGAACTTAATTTCCAAAACCAGGCCCAAGTAGTATCTAGTATCTCTCTGTATTTACTTTCTGATGCAGAGGTTTATGGTTATTCATGATTTCTTGGTCATTTGATACACATTTTAATGTAACTTTCTTAAAATCTATAGCTTCTTTAAATGTGAATTTTCTGATTAAAATAATCTTTCAGTATTTTACCCTCTGTTCCAAGTAGGATTAATACATTTAAAAAACAGAAATACATACATATATTCTGATTTCATGACAGTTTTAGACTGAGTGATCACTCTGTCCTTTAAAGTATCTTGCATGTAGTATGATTTTAAGAATGGTTGAAACTGAAGATTTTGGAGGAAAAAAATGAAGAGTACCTGAGATATTTGGATGATAGTCATCTATCAGCTTTGCTTTTGGCCTGTGTGGTATATATCTATCTGCTTACTACAGATTTCTTCAACTTTAAGACAGCTCAGTTCCTCTCCATTTCCTCTGTCCTCCAGATCCTCATGTCAGAGCCTGGGAAACTGCTGCAAAAAGTCAAAGTTTGGCTGCAGGAGTACTGGAATGTCACGGACCTCATAGCTATCCTCCTGTTCTCTGTTGGGATGGTTCTCCGCCTGCAGGACCTGCCCCTCCGCAGCGACGGGCGCGTCATCTACTGCGTCAACATCATCTACTGGTACATCCGGCTGCTGGACATCTTCGGTGTGAACAAGTACCTGGGGCCCTACGTCATGATGATCGGCAAGATGGTAAGAGGAGGTGGCCAGCCTCTTCTGTTTGACAGCCTGCTCTTGGCCCAGTGTCCTTAGCCAGGGTCGTTGCTGCAGATTTGCCTGTGGATTTTTTACACATCAGTGTTTTCACTTAGGCTAGAAGTCAGTGCTTTATTGAATCAAAACCTGCAGAATCGAGGATTAGATTTTTCCTGTTCTGTTAGGTGGTATATTGTTTGTCTTTCTCTGAGATCCCTCTTCAACAGCAGAGCCACCCTACACCCCTCTGCGGCTCACTTGCAGAAAGTACAAAGGAGATTTGGTGATTATAAAAGAAGGTGGTTTGTTAAGGTAAAAAAAAAATTGATCTAGTGTGTAGTACTCTGAGGCTCTCAATGCGTTGTAATAGTCATGGTGTGCTCAAAACTATAATGTTAGGGTTAAGATTGACCTTTCTATGGTTTGATCCATATCCACATGCTTTTCCATCATTTCAGTTCAGGTGTGTCCTTGCGAGATGAGAAATCCATTTGCATAAGTGCAACCTCTGTGCCCTGGCCACATCAATTGTACACACCATAGCAGCAATATTAATAGCTTGTGTAATAGTAAATGCATGCACGAGGAATCGAGAGAGATTTGTTTCCACATGCTCGACTTTTGATTTTTTTCAATTTTTCATTTTCATGTTTCAATTGAAATGTTGCAATTAGGCAGCATTTTGCTTGTTTTAATTTAAAAAATGGATGGATTTAGAGATGCATATGCACACTTCCCTAATATTTGGATACCTGCACACATAGCTAATACATGTGTTCATGTTTCACATGCAGTATCCAGCTTCTCTTGTGTAAATCATGTCCCTTTCATGCATTTTGGGGTTTAAGATCTGGGGTTTTCTAAGTAGGTTAAAGCCCCTTGAAGCTGGCTTTAAGTAAAAACAAAAAAAAAGTAAACTGAATATTAACTCCTCCAGATGAAATACAACTGCTGTCTGTCTCCTATGTGACAATAATCACCAAGTCCAAACAGGCTGTCTGTTGTATTTATCTAAAAATGGTCCTTAAAGAAAACCTTCATGCATCCTCACCATCACAAGAAAAGGGCACATGCATCAGTGCATGGACTACAATATCGCCTTGATAATACACTAGTCACAACAGGCTCAGTGAGATATAAAACTGAAATGCAAAATATACACCCAGTTACACACTCTGCCCAACAGGCAACCATTTTCTTAGCCCCTCAATTTACCAGCTTTCTATGCGGGCCCACAGTGGTGGGTTTGACAAAGAAAGAACAGCTTGGTGGAAACCAACTGAGGGAGAGAGATTGAGGGAAAACATGAACGTGATGGTTGAATTTTTATGTCCTGGAAAAGGGATTTGAAGTGCCCTTCCTTCAAGAAAGCCTATAGGAGGTTGACATGAGGTTTTTCAGAGATCCAGAGTGAAAATACTCAGCAGTTCTTGTTGGAGGTTGTTGCAAAAAGATGGCAGGATCAGAGAAAGGAATGCAGATCAATGGGAAAACACTGCCTTAGCAGGTTTCTTTCCTGCCACATTTGCACTCTCTTTCTGACAGTGGATCTGGTGGTCACTGGGGCTCACACAATACACAGTGTATAAAACTTCTGAAAAAACAACTACCCTTCTACTCTGCTTTATTTTTCACAGCCACATGTAGTAAAAGTTTCAGAACTGTGATGCAAACACAGGCAGTGTGAGAAACAGTTCAATAATAGAGGGGCCAGGTATAACAAACTTCCAGTAGTCAGTGTTACAGATGGCTGATAGCAGCCCAACTCCACTAGCAGTATGAAGAGTTATTTATTTTTCTTCAAGGTCACACAGAAAGGAAGTGATTGAAATTAACAGCATTTTCGTTCTTTTGTCACTTTCACATGTGTACAACAAATCAAACCTCACTCCACTTTCTGTGGAAAACAAATGCAGGAAAATCACTAGTCTCTGTGGGCTCAGTACCTTCATTAAAGGGTGTTGAATTTAGCTGCCAAATTGTTCTGAAGCTCTAGGCAGTAGTTAAAAGAGGCACATTCTTCTATTTTGTGCCTCCTGTTGCTTGATTTTCATAATTTGTCCAACTTTCCTTTCACTTCCAGCCACTCTGACACATCCCTTTGCCCAAATATACAATGCACAACCAGTTTGAGTTACACAGATATCACATGTATTTTCTGACGAGCTTACTCTCTTGTGCAACTCATGTCCAGCTCATGCACTCCCTGGGATTTGCACCTGCTGGCTCCAGACTGCTCCATGCGCTCTCTTGTGTATTTTCGTTTAAATCACGTGTCCCTCTACCTCCTTGTGTTCTGTCTTCCAAATGGTGTTGAAAGTTCAGTTCAGCACTATGAAGGCCATCAAGCTGGTTATACATATTTCTATAGAGCAAGCACATCACAGCTACTGAGGTCCTCAACAGACCATATTTAATGCCTGAGACGTTTTTCTTGAGCTTCTATTGTAAGTTTTAGACTCAGGAGGAAAAGGATGGCTATTTCTGTCTTTCCAGTGTTGAGGAGCTTCTCTTCACCTCCCTCTACACTGCAGTCAACGAAATAGCTGTAATCAGTTTTACGTCTGGCCACTCTGAACAAATATGCAAGTTAATTTAAGCAAGGAGCAGGAATGGGCTTGAGTGGTTTAAAAGCAGCAGGTTAAAGCAAAGATGAAGATACAGGGAGGAAACTGAATGGCCAAGCTTATTATTATCTACTGATTTCAGTAACAGAATATGCTTATGCTTTTCTGATTTCTTCACAGTGATGGATTTCATTTCCTTTAGGAAATTTCAGGAATGAAATGAAATTACTGTGGAATATCAAGAGAGTCAGAGGTATATCAGTTCCTTTAATGTGTAGAAATATCTGCATTTTCTTAGCCTTTTTGCAGATACAGAAGTCAAAATACAGCCAACTTCTTCATGAGATTGTACCCCAAAAAAACTGTGGTTTATCACTTTTTTAAACAGGTGGCTGACGAGCTCTTCAGAATGGTTAAAGTATCCACTGCCGTGCTAAAACAGCAATTGTAATTTGACACCACAGGCCAAAGGACGGGACATAATGCTCCTTAAAACCAGTGAAAACTTGTCCATATATTTCATTGTATTTCAGACTAGTTACTGAGAGATAGAAGTTAGAAGAGTTAGAAGATACCAAACTGAACTAGGAGAAAAATAATGTGCATCTTGAATAGAGAACAGCACTAAAAAATTTTATTTCTTGCATGATCACACCTGTGTGATTCCTGATCACGCTTGAAACATTTAAGACATTGTCTTAAATTTCCTCAAAGGACTCATTTTGTTTATATTTTTGCAAGACATTTTAAAATAGTTATTACATTACATCATATCAAGTTATATATTGCCATTTGAAACAAAGTTTGATCATACAAGAAATGAGGAATCAGATTTCACCTTCAGGTGAAATCAGGTTTGTTCCCTAAAAGCAGTGAGAACTAAATATTAATATTCAGCTTTCCTATTTTAGGATGCTTTCTGCAGTACAATGATCTAAAATTCCTCTTCTTGAAGGAAGATTTTTGAGAGATTAATGCCTTGAATTAAATAGGAATGTTGATGATTGACTTCACTGGGTTTTAATAATTTAAAGCATTTCTTCTCCTCTCTCATATCCCCAAGATTTTTTTCCTTTCTTTCCTGCTTTTTTTATGGACCTCAAGAATTTTGTTTTCCCTTGCTTTTCTTTCACTTGTCCTCAGTTCCTTCTTTCCATCTTCCTGATTCTCTCTCATCTGACCCCTGCTCTGCTGGTGCCTCATTCCTACAGCTCTTCTCTCTAAACATGAGCGTACCTTTTTCTCTTTGCTGCCCTGTAACACTTTTTTCTCTGGTACCTACTCTCCCATTGTTACTTTGGCCTCGGGCTGCTTTAAAATTGAAGAGGCACTGCAGGAGTACCAGTTCCATCTGCGGTGGGTGGGTGCCTCTCCAGCATCTCCTGCCAGGAGCAGCCCTGCCCCTGGGCTGCAGCAGGTGCCCCTGGAGCCAAGGCCAGCAGCTGAGCGAGGTGCAGGCTGGCTCCACTCCTCTCTTCAAGGAAGGCTGAGACAGAATAAATGGGAAGGGAGGGAATAAATATCATAAGGTTTAGGGGATTCTTAACTTGACTTTTGGCTAGAGACAAAAGTTTTGTCCAGAACTGTGAAAAACAGCTCAGTTGTAACAATTCTGAAGACCTGGCAAATCTATAAGTTTTAAAGGGATCTTACCAGGGACTTTACACGACTCTCAATTGTTTTCACATTCACTTTAGGTTATCTCTGATGTACCTGCCTGATGCCCATTGTTCAGCTCCCTTGAGGGCTTTTTGTAGAACAGTGCTTCTTCTAATCTTCAGATCTATTCAGCATCTTGTAAGATTGTTGTCCCACATTTTTCAGAAGCATTTTCAATGGATGAGTACTGTTTGCAAACGCCAGTTAATCTTGGGCATATGCTAATGAGACCCTCAACAGTAGAGAAGAACAGAGTTCACTGTCTGTTACCTGATTGGGTTTTTTCACTCAGGCATTTGTCAGACTCCCCCACCAAGAGGATTTTTAGCCCAGCCAGTATCGCAGCTTTCCTTTCTCACTGGTTGCCACCGTGGTGTCCCTTATGTTGCAGTAACAGGCTGTTCTGCCACCCGTTCCTCCGTATGTTAGTTGCAGCTCCCTTTGCTCCAAGATAATGACTACCAGTGAATAAAATTATCCATGCCAGTCCTTTGCTTATGTACGGTTGCCACTTGGTGCCTATAAACAATACATCATCTCACGACCCTTGCCCACACCAGGCTGCTGATTCCAGTGAACCTATATATTCTTGTTGAGGCAACTGGTGTGACCAGATGGTACTTTATATGTTCAAGCCTATTCATAACATTTGAATTGTTCTTAAAAGTAACACTGGCTAACACAAATGACACAATAATACCACTTCACTGCTGGGAAAAATATTTTTTTTATGTGTAAATGAGAATGGCTTTTCAAAATTTGTTTTTGAAAATTCTGTTTCTAAGATTTACAGACCTTTTCTTTTTTTGCAGCACATAATAATGGGAATATGGACAAATAAGTTCCTCTAATTCTTGTCCTTTCTCTCTCTCTTTCTCTCCCTTTTCCTGTCATTACATTCAGATGATAGACATGATGTACTTTGTCATCATCATGTTGGTGGTTCTGATGAGCTTTGGTGTGGCAAGACAGGCAATTCTCTTCCCCAATGAGGAGCCTTCGTGGAAGCTGGCGAAAAACATTTTTTACATGCCTTACTGGATGATCTATGGGGAAGTGTTTGCAGACCAGATAGACCGTAAGCAAGTTTATGATTCTCATACTCCAAAGTCAGGTATCCAGCTTTGATCAGATGATGTCCTGTTAGATCATGTGTGTTTTCTCAATAAATGGCTCTGCACAGAGGAACTTCTTCAGCACAGAAAATGGTTGCAAATTTTTCAGCTAATATTGGGGTGTCAGTTTCAGAACATGCTTCTGGCATCACTTTGCAATCGTGTAACTGGAAATCTGTAATGCTAAATTTTCATGCATGTAGAGAAGGTTATAAGTGTGTCCTTTTTACCAGCTTAGTGGCAAGAATACCCTTCCAGGTATCCAACATGAAATTGGGACTATACCTGGGACACAAAAAGTCACTTCTTTTTTTCTCATCCTTTGGTTTCTTTTTAGACCGAAATACTTTTTATCCAACTTCATATTGAGCATCGTGTCTAATAATTGAGGGGTAGACCTTTCAGCTTCTGTACTTCATGGGGATCTAGTCCAATGAAGTTTCTCTGTTACCTTCTCAGTGTCACATTTAAGCTAAACCCTGTGATGCAATTCTTTGGGGCTAATAATTAGATCCATTTTTAGAATATTGCTGCATTTATTTTTAGAAGGCAAGACTGTGCTCACACCAATGCAAACAGGAAAAGAGCCAGTATTAAATATATTGTCCCCTTAGGATTCATTGGGTAGGTGTTTATTTATCCTGAGCTGATTAAATGTAGTAAACATATCTGTGTCACAAATAATGCCCCTAATTGAATATAGTTTCAGATGGATAGATGTATACATATCCCATAGCAGATATTTCAGCAGTTTCATGTCAATTTCTTCTTCCTGGCTAGCACAGAATCATTATTGTGGATACAGATGAAACCTTGTTTTTATCTTTCTTCCCTACTTGATTTTTAGAGGCAGCATGGCATGCAATGAAGTAAGAAAATACCTATAATCACAGATTTCTCATTACGTTTCACTTCTAACCCAATTCCCTCATTTTTGTCCTTTTCCCTTCTCTTTTATTTTTAAAAATTCGTTAATTCCAAAGGCATAATAGTTGGGGATATAAAACTTCATCTTGCTCTGAAAGGATATTTTAGAGGGGTAAGGGTTAGTACCATTAAACTATAACTTCCTTCTAAAAGCAGAATTTTCTCTGTCCCTCTACAAGTGGCCATTTATTGATATTGTACTAAGTAACCACCGTAGTACAACAAACGTGGCAATTGGCTGAATAAAGTGTTTTGTTTGATTGTTTTGTTTTTTTATTAAGGGCTGATTACAGTTTAGAACCCATAAACATAAGAAACTGAAGGGTGTTTAAGTATGAAAATAGGGTGGCAGGCTGCACACCCTTGCATGAGGATTTATGTTATTTACATGCACAACATTTAAATCACGAAAAAGATGCAGAGTAATTATTTCTGGAGCTTAGGGAAAGCAAAATTCCTGGCAACTTAAGCTCCAGATTTAAATATAGACATATTGTTTCTCTGCCTGTGTCAGGGAAACTTGTAGTTGCAGCAAAAGTGATGATGTCACTGAGTCAAAATGAAAAGCAGCACCTACTTTCTCCTTCCTGAGAGGCAGATGATGCAGGGACTTAGAATCTGCCACTCTTCCAGCACAAAATATGTACAGTATGTCATGTCTGTCTGATGCTCAGTTGTCTCAAAAATGTTATCTGTAGAATAGACTGGGAGCACAAGAAATGCTTGGTGATGACATTACACAATCAAAATGACCCAATGGACACCCAGAAGGTTTTACTAGTATACTCACATTTTTTTCACAATTTCAACATTTGCTGCTATTTATATTTTTCACATTGTTCTAAGCTAAATCAGCCACTGTATTCATGTTAAAGTGCTACAGTGTTTGTACTTTCTCAAATAAGATAGGCATGTTCTAAAATTGTTGTGCTACATCTAAACTGCAATTTCACTTGATGGCTTAGAGCGCATTCTTTTTTAATCAGTATTATTTTAGCCAAAAAAATGTTGCATTGTGGTTTTGTTTATATTTTGGTGCTTAATATTGCTACATTATTAGCAAGCTTGGGTTTCAGCAAAAGTGCTGATCATGGAAAAGCATGTTGATTTGAGCCACTGTCCTGGAAATCATCCTGGTATCTGAGAAATGTACAAAAAAGTAGGCTACTCTAACATTTCTAATTTTCTTTTTTTAAATAACAATTATTTCTATCTATTTAATTTTTTTTAAGTTATTTGTGAAGCATTCTATTAAGGCTGACCAGATACAATGTTTGGATCCATCTCATCAACTGGCAGCCTTTTCAATCCATTGCTCTGATTTGTATTTCAACACACTGCTAAATGCCTTGATCTAAAACACTGCCTATTTACATATTTTACCCATAATTTCTGTATTCATATCATTTTTTAAGGAAAAGTGTTAGCTGAAGTATGTATTAGTGTCCTGTCGATATGTGATCTCATCTTCTACTCACAAGTGAGGACAGATTATATCCTCACTTCTGGGATTATGAATACATTATTCAGTGGTGGTGTTTATTATCAGTGATGTCCATAACTACTACATACATACCTGACTAAGAATCAGTTGTAAAGTGGAGGGGAAGGAGAGTAAATCTTTTAGCTCTGTAAAACCAGCAAAACCACTAAGTAGTTCCTCTCAAGCTGATGGTTCACCATCATATGGCCACTTAAAAATCTAACAGCCTTGTCATGTTGAGCAGGTGCTTCATATAAAAAGATGTAGAACTAGAATGGTCAGCTTCAGTAATTCTTGGATAAGGAAGAGAAGTAAAATGAGAACTGAATATGCCTAAAACATGCTGGGGGAGGAACCACAGACAGTAATACATGGAAGAGTGACCTCTGCTAGCAATGGAGATATCCTGGGCTCCTGCTGCTCCTTCAGCCCCAGCGACCCATTAAGTCCACAGCCCAGCTCCAGATGGGCTTGGGGAAGGGGGAACTAGAAAACACAGACTTTACTATCACAGTCCAATTATAATGGTCTTCCTCTAAGTCTTTGAGCAGGAAGCTAGTAGAATATGATCTACAAACAAAGGAGGTGAAATTACAATTTATTAGACTATATTGTTCTCACATCTATATCCAGCTGTTCAGCTAATTCTATATAGCTGATCTGGCACGGACAGGAGGTAACATATACCATGTTGTCTACTCAGGAAGTTTTAGCAGTTACATGAAAGTCTTTGGAAGTATGTAAAGATCAAGGAATAGTCTAGCTGCTTCATGGAAAAGTCCAACCAGTCAAAATGTCTGTCCAAGTGAAACATTAATAATGACTGAAACCACCTTGAGCTACTGAGTTTTGACTTGGGCCTAGAAAACCCCTGTTAGCAGCTATTGGGATTCAGATAAAGGCTTAGACCAGAGAACTGAAAGCAGGCAGTAAGCTAATCAAAATTATGAATTATTTAAAGGTCAGGAAATGAAAAATTAATATATTTCAGGAAAGGAATAATAATAAGAGCTTGATAAATTGAAAAAAAATAGACTGATATCAATTATGTAGTTAAATAAAGATATATTATTATCCAGTGATAGCTGGGGGAGGAAGGAGAATCTGGATCAGAGAACTGGCAATGGCATGTGCAACTGTCTCACTTTGAGGCTGTTCTTCCTAATCCGTCTGAGCCTTGTGCTGCCCAGTGGGATCCATGGGGCAGCAGCCAGCCACGTAGCTGCTTTAGTGAATGCCTGTCCAGAAGTGCATTTCCCACAAACACTGTAAAATCTCTGCCTCGGTTCACCACACCTTGGCACTTGTGTTGGCAGTTTAAGCCAGGAAAATTCATAACACAGTTTTCACCTGTGAAGAGCTTTGTTTCCACTTTACAAAACTATCTGGCCCTCCAGAATACTGTGGATACAGAAGGAAAATACTGAAGAGGAAAGATGAGGTTTTTGGTAAAATACATGTAGATAGAAAAAATAAATGCCAGCTTGGAAAATGGCAGTCATCTGTAGACAATGAACATCAGAGCTCACATTTTCCTGTACTCAGAAGGCTAAGGAATTGAGCCTGCTGTTAGTCAACATGTCTTTTGGGAAGTTTTTCAGATTTTCCTGGTGTCTCACAGGTCGGATTTCCATCTGGATTTTCTTACCAGCTGACAGTACTTCAGATGCCATCTGGAATCTGAAGATCAGTCTGAGTTGTGTTTGTTTCTTGAGTCTATTTCTGTTTTGGAAAAGCCTACCTAGTTCCAAAGAAAAAGATGGGACCACTTTCTCATTCAATTGTATGGGAGGAATATCAAGTAACCAGAATGTAATCATTTCAAAAGATGAGAGACCATTATACAGAGGTTTTACCTATTCAATGAAATTCAGAGGAAACTATAATTACTTCAAAAAACATTTTTAGAATTCTTTAAATTTCTTAATCTTTTAGATTTAAGTTTTATAATTCTTGAAAAGTTCTTAGTGCAGATGAAAATTATATCATAAACTCTTTATGACCTTACAGATTACATGCTTTATATGACTCAATAGGAGCTTCCTACGAGGCCTGTCATTTGCACAGACCATTCTGGAATTAGAACAAACAGAGCAGCTCTGTACAAAACAGAATAAATCATACCTGTGACAATACTTTTAACATTGTTAGACAAAGGTAGTGAGTAAGATTTTTGCGCAGACTACAAAGTATTTTGAAAGTCTCTCTGGGCTGGATTGCAGCAGTGTTCCCATATCTAGTGCTCCTGATGTTGTGATTTGGATTCTGTTTGGTTGGTTGTTTTCTTAATGAGGGAAGGAAGGGAGTAGGAGGAGGAAGAAAGCACTAGAGTGAACAAGAAAAATACAGGAAAATACAGGGATTTAATATAAATTATTATTAAAATACCAGCAGATTGAAGACACCCTTCAAAGTCACATTTACTATGGCTGGGAAGAGAAGCAACATGGAAGGTCAGGATGCTGTATTTAAAGAAACTTTCTTGAAGTGATGAGACACTGTTCAACTCCCTGAATGTTTCTACTAAGGAACAGAGTAATTTTGTGAAATTCGGGTTTCACAGATTTTAGACGAGAACAACTTCAAGAAGGCCACTTAATTTGTTTTTTTTTTTGGGGGGGGGGTTGGGGGGAGGTGGCTGAAAGAGTTTTCAATATTTACCAACCTGGTAAGCTGGTAAAATTGCTTAGACATTTGATTCAGAAATTATAAAACACCTTCACATACTTTGAGCTCATTGTGGGTCTAAATTTGAAGGTGCCTATATACTCATAAGTAGAATTATTAAAGTGCATTAAAAATATCCAGACTTGAATTAAAAAAAAAAAAGGTGTTTATTGTTATTTGGTTGCACTTATTTGTTTCCACTTTATTTAGAACTGTGAGCATAGGAAAGCATTCCTCAGTTTCTTGTGATTTCAAACAAATTAGCTTGTACAGTAAAAGTGATATCAGTTTTTATAGAAGTTTTCTTCAAAGGCAAAAAGCTATTGAGAGGCAGAGTTGTTCAATTATGCACTTTTGTTTCTTCATTATTTCCTACACCTGCTTTGGAAGGGTGCAGCTGGGGGAAGAGTCGTGATGCAGAAACTCACAAACATCCTTTGCCAAGCCCTCCACCTAACACACAGTAAAAGTGAGCAGTGCCCATTCCATGACAGTAATTACAGCAGGGAAACGAATTCTTCCTGAGCTCTGCCTCCATGTTAGGCCTGAAGCCCACAGAGGCTTGAATTACTGTTGGTTTTTTTGCAACTATTTCCTGGACAGGAAAGAGGAAGGGTTAGGTTTGCAGCAGGAAAGGCCCAGCAGGAAACTGTAAGTGGGAGTCAGGAAGGAAAAATAAGCATTGAAAGAGATTGTGAAAAAGGAAACAAAGGATTCAAAAACTATGTACATCTATAGGTGCCAGGATGCAATGTTTGCAAGCTGAGTGAAGTTAATTCGTATAATTGAAATTAAAACTCCAACCTGTTTTCTAAAGCCTAAGTTCAGAACATAATATTTGAACTTTATCCAATGGCCTGTAAGTATCAGAGTTGTTGGCTTTTTCAGTTACCTGAGACTGGCATATCCTTATGCTAGCAGAATTTGCTTCAGTAAAAGACTTTGCTAGAATTAGGTATGCTGTGGTTTGTGTTAGAGAAAGGCTATAATGTAAAACAGATGAATCAAGTTTGCATATATGTTAATATTGTGCTTTGAAATATATTACAATCTATTACTGAACGTATTACAAAATTACTTCATTTCTCCAAAAATATTTAAAATGTTCAAATGATGTTGTACATGAAGGGCAGCACAGATTCCTCAGGGGTGTGGTAGGGCCTACACCTTTAATTAATAGTGGGGAAAAAAACCTTAGAAAATAAATGTCATAGTTTAAAGATGAAAGAAGAGGTTCAGTGATGTGCCGTGGAACACAGACTAATGCATTTTTGGACAATGTCATACGTTTTCTTATGCAGCTAAAGATGTGACAATTAAATGGTGGCTTGGCTCTCTATAAGTAAGGCAAGAGATTAGTATTCCCATGTTATTTAAAAGCTGTACCCACAACAGAACGTGCAAAAGAGAAAAACTGCAAAGCTTCAGGACAAGCTGAACCACAAGGGGTGTAAAGAACAGACTTTGGGAGCATGTCTGCATAGGAAATCTAATTTGGCCATCACTAGGTGGCATAAACCAACAGAGATTACCCAGCTGTAAAAAAGTAGAGCTGGAGAAATATTTTTTTCTTCTTAACCGACTTTTTTTTCCAGATTAAATTCTATATTTTTAAAAGAGAGGGGGAAAAAAGGGATAATAGAATTGGAAACAGAGCTGGAGCTGAGTTTTTGATCTCATTTATTAAGGTTTGAAAAATGCTTTTCAAAATTTTTCTCATTACTGGAAAAGATAGTATTTGTTCTGTTTTCAGCACAAAAAAGGATAACATTTTTCTTCAACTGATACTATGATTCTTCCATCACTGGGGAAATCACAATGGGTTTTAGTACTTTGTTGTATTGGACTCTGCACATCTGACTCAATAAATGTGCAAGCTAATGTTTCCACACAAAGAGAGATGTAAGTTTCACACTGAATGCTGATAGCAAGAGATACTGGATGGTGCAGTTTCTGCTGTGTGAAGGCTAAGAACAGAGAGCCCCTCACTCACAGCATCTCACAGACAGTGTTTTCAATATCTAAATGAAACTGCTTCATGGAGCAGTGTGGAAATGATCTGCAAAGTAATGCTTAATGAGAAAGGAAGAATTGCTTAGTCTCAGCCTGCTCCAGTAATAAAATGTGTTTTTGTAGATAGGAAGGACTGGTAACACTATGTGTCCAAACACAATACAATACTTGTGTCCAAACACAAGCTGATAAAAAGCAGTGTTGCTTTTATTTGACTGTGTAGTTTCTTTTTCAGTGAGATGAATATTTTTGGAGCGGTCATGTAGTCTTGTATCGCATATGGCTACAATATTTCTGTGTGTAAAAGACTAGGATCTATGTGTAGTGCCCAAAACAAAGTACCAAAATCACACATAATGTAATATGATTGCCAGTACAGACATCCACAAGTGAATGTCAAGCTCAGTAAACCAAGTTCAGAAGAACTTATTTGAGAAGATGCAATTGTTGGCACTGGAAATACGGATTTGTTGCCATACAGTGAAATTCTACACGTCATCAGCAGACTTCATCTTCCATTAAGTCGGTAGAAAACCCTCATTGATATTGCTAGGAACTGAGCCAGTGCTGAGCACTTTGGAAATTCCTCACTTAAACTTATTTTTGATGGAGATGAGGGGGACCTAGCTGTTGTGCTGTGCAAAATTTACTAAGATGGTTTGTATATGTAAGCTGCTGCTTCCATTATTTTCTTGAAGAGCTGATTATGGAGCTACATAGAACCACTAGGACTAGAGAGACATAAACTGAACCTATGCTTGCAAATGCAGATTACCCATCACTGCACATGAAGACATATTAAAACACAAGGCAGGGAAAAGTATTTCACCATATTTTCTCTCCCCTTGCTTCAGTTCTACATTAATACCAAGAACATTTTGATTCCAATGTATTTGTGGAAGAAACAGGTGGCATCTCTGCTGCATACATGTCCCTGTACCTGGTACAGTAAAGACTTGATAATCTCCCCCACTGTTTCTAGGCATGCAGTCAAGAGTCCTTAATAGCAGAAAGTTGTTATGAGTATGTCCTAGAGGAGCTTGAGACAGTGCAGTGCACAGCAATAAATGTCTACTCGGTAATTTACTTTCATGGACTTACTTTTCCTTATTTGTCACATCCCTCTCAGTCAATAAAAAAAGACAAGGTTTTCACTGTTAAAGAAATAATATGCAAGCTTTTTTGTAGGATTAAACAATTCAATAATTTCATTTTCACAGCCACTAATTACCACCAGGCTACCACGTTACTTTGAATTATGTATGCAAACAGGCAGCTTATTCACGCCAGGCATGTCTCCTGAGAGAAATATCTTGATACCCATGGCACATAACACACAATTAGAAGAACTGCAACCTGTAAAATCTGTGATACCAAGCATAAACTTCTGAGGGGAGAATATCAATGCCATTGTTATTTGGAAGATGTTGCCTTGGCAGGCAGGCCATTATAAATATTTAAACATTTCTGCAAAAACTACCGAAAAAATAGGATTCATTCCCATTTTGCATTTTTTTTTGTTTTTAAATTTTGTTCCCAGCACCATGTGGTCAAAATGAAACCAGAGAAGACGGCAAAATAATCCAGCTACCTCCCTGCAAGACAGGAGCATGGATCGTTCCTGCCATCATGGCCTGCTACCTCTTGGTAGCAAACATCCTTTTGGTGAACCTCCTCATTGCGGTTTTCAAGTGAGTGACACATTGCAAAGGGTAGACTTGGGGAGGTTGCACATTGTTCACAGCCTGTGGAGATGCTGAGCTTTGGCTTTGGCTGAGAGACATTTTCTGAGGATGTAAGCAGGAGAGGGAAGGAGGCTTGTCTCCAGGAAACAAGGCAAATGCCAAGTTTTTCTCATTGTGCTCGTTTCCAAGGACAGACACCTAATGGGAACCAGGGCAAAGAAGCCAAATAAGGTTCAGTTATGGCGTCATTCATTCCCAATAGGGAAAACAAGAGTAAAAGTACTTGCCCATCTCAATGGGTTGTTGTAAAACCCAGGGGTTGGACAGCACAGATATTTACAGTCATAAGGTATTTCAAAAAGGCTGATTATCACTGCGCACAGTGTCCAAGGCACAAACTTACGCTTTTATTCTGCTTCCTGGTTTTGTGACAAGGAAACATTTGCCAGTGTTATTGAAATGTATCTAGTTACAATGCTGTCATATCATCTTTGGCAAAGGACCCCAAACCATTTTCAGCCTGATATTATTTTCCTCTTCTTGCCTTCTAGCAACACATTTTTCGAAGTGAAGTCTATATCGAACCAAGTCTGGAAGTTTCAAAGGTACCAGCTCATCATGACATTCCACGAAAGACCTGTTCTCCCACCACCTCTGATCATTTTCAGCCACATGACAATGATATTTCAACACCTCTGCTGCCGATGGAGGAAGCATGAAAGTGACCCAGACGAGAGAGACTATGGATTGAGTAAGACTCAGATAATGCACAGAGGGGACTTTCCAATGCCTTTCATAATGTCTAGTGTTTGACATGCATGAAATCAACGTCCAGCATCTTGATAGCCTTCCCAGCAAAGTTACAGCTTTTACCTGCAGAAACCTTACCTGAATAAGTTAGTTTTTCCTGATTTGTCCAACCCTTCATTCTCTTTGAAATGTTAAGGAGGTTCTGTTTTTCTGGAACTTTTTTGGGGGTTGTTGCCCTGTTTGTTATTTCAAAGCAAAGAGGTTTGTTTTGCTGTTACTAGACGTCTGTTATTGCTGGAATTCTTCTCACTCCATCACACTTCCAGCTTTATTTTTGAAATTACAGAGCAAACAGCACATACTTCCCCTGAGCACACTTTTTGCCTAGATAAGTTTAGAGATGACAAAAGGCAACAGTGTACAGTCCCTCCTTGACTCTGACTCAGACTGGAGGAGTAGTTCCTCAACACGCTTTAAATGAAGTCCCATAATGATGATGGAAAACCTGGCAGATTATTTTGATAACAACTTCCTCTTCTCTTTCTAATTCTTCAAGCAGAATATCTCCACCTTGCCCAATGTACATGCCAGAGGCAGGGAGCTAAGGGGTGTGTGTCTCTTCCCAGCATTAGCCCATGCTACAGCCCACTTCTCTGTGAGGAGGGAGCAGGAGTCACCTGTGGCACTGGAGATGCAGCCAGACAGCTCTTCTCCCACTCCCATCACATTGCTGCCTGCAGATGTCAGTTCTTGCCATGTCAGACAGATCCCTGTACTCACACATGCTTTCCTAGTAGTCTGCTAATCTCATTATACATCTGTTAGGTTACAGGTGGGCTTTGGCTTTCACCATCTGTCCAGGACCTGACCAGCATCAGAGTTTAGATCTCATATAATCAAAATATATTTATGTTTGCTTAGCCTTGGCCTGCTTAAGTGCTTCTGTCTCCAGAATCACATACAACTAAAGCCAATGATTCAATAATTAACAGCATCTATCTGCTTTCATATCAAAATGCCACATACTTGCTTATGTAAGTTTAGTCCATGAGTTTCACAAATGTAAGAATGGAGTTAGTTTTACATGTTAATATTTGCCAAATTCATATTTCTCAAATTTCTTCCACAGAACTTTTCATAACTGAGGATGAATTGAAAAAGGTCCATGACTTTGAAGAGCAGTGCATAGAAGAGTATTTCAGAGAAAAGGATGATAGATTCAACTCCTCCAATGATGAAAGAATTCGTGTCACTTCAGAAAGGTGTGCTTTTTTGTTCTCAAAAATTGATCTGAAAATGTTTCTCTCACCAGTCTCACTCTTTCTTTTTTTTCTTGAAAAAGGAAACGAAGTCGTTTTGCTAAGTCTTAATTAAAAAGTAAACTGATAAAATGTGATGAGTTTATTTTCTCCTTTTCTGATTATTTTTGGTAAAGCAAATATGTTCAAGGTCAGGCTAGATGGGGCTCTGAGGAACCTGGTCTAAGGGAAGGTGTCCCTGCCCATGACAGGAGGATTGTTAACTGAATGATCTTTAAATCCTTCCAACCCACATCATTGTATGATAAGTTTTGTAAAAGGGATATTTTATCCAGTTGTATTAAAATATAACTGATACAGTGGGAGGCACCAATTGTGCTTGCATTTCAGTTCTTAAAGCAGAATTTCATGGCATAAGTAGTCAGAACAAAATGAGACAGTAAATTAGAGTTCCTCAATGAAAACCATGACTTAAGGGTTTATCTGTGAGCTATTCATATAAGAAAAAAGCTTTGTTTTAGGATAGCCTGCCTAAGTAAACTAGTTTCATTGGGACCAATGGCAACATAGATTTTAAATGGAACAAGACATTTCACCTACTGCAATGCACAGAGGAAAAAAACAGTACAGTAATTTAGTGGAAGTTGCCAGGAATCAAGTTCATGAGTCCTAAAAATTTCTAGGCCTGTTGATCTGCTGTGGCACTTACATGCTTTCATGGAACACTGTTGAGCTCAGCTTTAGAGGACAAGAGTTTGTATTTGATTCATGGCACTTTTGCCAATAAATATTTCAGGGTAGTATCCTGTTAGATATTCATAAAACTTACGAACCAGAGAATACTCCTGGAAAACTCCATTTTATCTTGAATAACAGAGGACAGGTGAGTTGTCATTTTCATCAGTTACACTGATATAACACTCTTCTCCTTCTATATAATCTTCCAGCACTGCCCCGATTCAGCTATACCTAAACTATGTTTTCTGTAGGCAAGGAAACATGCTGTTAATTTGGTTTTGAAATAAATCTATCCCAGAGTAGAAATAGAACATATAATATCATTTAATCATCTGCATTACTGAAAACGAAAGCACTCCTAAAACATACATTTTAGAAAAGGATATTAGAGGGAAAGTTGGTAAGGCATGGAATGGCTACCTTGTGAAGGCTGGCCAAGTAATTCAGCATTACTGGGTCTGGAAGAGACAAATGAGGGTTGAAATTATAGAGGTCTATTTAACTGTGAGTGTAAGGAAAGGGTGAGCAGAAGTGTATTGTTTGCTGTCACACTTAGAACAAGATATAGGGGAGTAACCGAATAATTTAACAGGATCCCAGGTTCAAGACAAACAGAAAATAGATGGTATTTTTATTTCATGTCTTAAGTAGCGTAACAGAACAAATTTTTGAAAGATAGTGCGGTCCAAAGGAAGCTGATGTCAGCTAAAAGGCTACATGCATTCAAACAAGACTTGACAAGCTTATGAAAGACAAATCCAGTAAGGACTGCTAAATACATAGAGACCATGTTGAGCACATAAAGTTCCTGAGAAAAAAATATTAAAGACTGGAGAATATACAGGAGGAAGAATTACATGTACTTCAAAGTTAGGTAGTAAGATTGGCCTGTGGTCCAACTGAGTACCTTTCTTTTCTTGTGTTCCAATAGTCTGGTGGCCACAGAACTGAACTGAAACATCATAGGTGCAAGTTCAAATCTGAATATGGCTTTTCTTTTGGCAGCTAGGGAAGGAAGAGGTATGTTTGAAGACCTATTAATAAGAAGTAATCTAGCTAGGTCGTCCTCTACATCATGCAAGTGCTGTAAATTTAAAAAGTGCTTGAAAATGAAAGCATAACAGTCTGCCTTTTCATTCTATGCTGACCCTATTTTATAGGAAAAGAGTTCTTATCTTTAATTTAAATTAAAATCTTAAAGCACCTTTTTCCAGAATCGAGTTCATGAATATGAATCCTAAATGAAGACAAACACCTGAGCCTCACAGAGAAATAGATCTTTAAAAATCCATTTAACTTAGACAACATTTTAATGTGGAGACTAGTGTGCCCCAGCTCTGTAAGAGAATACAGGCAGTGACCCTGTAGGATACAGACGTCACTCCCAGGCCCAAGTACACTAATAGGACTTTCAGCAATGACATCCCAGCTGAATGCTATTCCTTTTTCATAATAAGTCTGGGGAATATTTAGAAGATGCTTGAATAGTCAGGGCTATCTAAGTGTCATACATAACCCATTGTAGAAGCAGGATACCTGGGTCTTTTATTTTGCTTGAAGTCATGGCCAAGTCCTCTTAAACCTAAAACACTTGTCTTGGTTCCAGCCAGGACAGGATTAATTTTTGCAGTTGCCAGGAGAAGACGGGAGGACCCTGAGGTTGTTTGGTACCATCTTATGTCATTGCCAGGGGCAGGGGAAAGGGACTCTTGCTTCTGAGGAGGAGGGATTCCTTCTGGTCGAGAAAACATAATGAATGGAACAGTCTAACAGTTTATTGTCAGGTTCTTTTTAACTGTAAATAATTTCTCCCTCTTCTTCTTCTTCTTCTACTTCCACCTTTTGTTGTAATTTTGTTGCTGTTACTGTTCATTTTCTTATTTCATTGCTATTTCCAGTGAGTTGTTCTTATCTCAAACCTCACCTTTTGTACCTCTAATTGGAGCAGGGCAGGAGAAGTGGCAGCATGGCTTCTAAATTGGAGAATACCATTCCTAAACCATGACAACACTAAAATAATTTTTTGTAACCTATTTTCACTTTGGAGTTTCTTTATAGAGTTATCATTACACAAGTAACAAGATACAGAGCAAAGAAAGCAGAGAAGATGCAAGACTACAGTTTCTTTTCCAATGCCCAGTCATTAGCCTGTAGTAGTAGACCAAGTATAAATACCCATGTTAAAGGCATGGGATACCAGTTTAGTCATCTTAAGTCAAATTAAGTCGGCTTTATGTGGTGTAAAATTGAACCAGAAAACCCTGCAAATATGAGTGAGGTTCTTCCTAAAGGCCCTTCATTTGCAAGAAACTGAGCAGGCTGTTAGGCTCAAGAAGGGAAGGTTGGGACAAGCCCTGTCTGACATAACTGCACCTGGACCTGCACTAGTCTCTGCCTTCCCTCCCCTCTGTGCATGTGATGGCACTTCCCCTGCTTGAGCAGCTCCTACCTGCATCTGAGATCATCAAAGTGCTCCAGGTCCTGCTAGGAGGAGGAACAGCTGCACACCCTGCATACAAAGCCAGTGAACCTGGAAGCAGGGGAAGGGGGCTGGCACTGGAAGGGAAATGTAAGATGGGAACAGAGTCTTGCTTCAAGCCTCAGTGGGTCACAGAGACAGATTAGGGGCTTGGGAAATTATAAGAAGAGATCCTGTTTATTGATGCATTGACCTGGATGTCAGTGAGTGACTTCAGCTATGCAGTCAGTAGCTGTGCTGGGGCAGGACCACAATGTCTCATCTGACTCACCTGCAACAAGCTCCAGTTTGTACTCTCACCTTGAAATACTCCACCTTGGCAACCTGTGGGCTTGCCTCAGTTCAGGAATCTCCTTACTTCTCTTGTAATGAGGAACACCACAGATGTCTTCATATTTGATGTCACCAGACAGAATTCCTGATCACTTCATGTTCAGAAATTAAAAGCATAGAACAACACTTGATGTTTCTCTTTCCTTGACCTCAAGTACTAAGCAACTCAGAGGAGTAGTTGTTTCTGGGACAGTGGGAACTACAAAGTTTATTAAAGAAGCCCTGCTTCTTCTGACTTCTGACTCTGATGGGAAGAAAGAACTCAACTCCACTGTGTATTCAAAATCCTTCACAGAAAGGGGTCTAAATGAAGGTCAATCCTTCCTTAGCCTCAGATTTTGGCAACAGTTTAAATTTAAGGAATCACTTTGTCTGGCAAGTTCTAATGATGGCAAATCACAAATATTTATTTAAAAATGAATGATTTATTAAACAGACAAAAGATAACATCTTAAAAAAAAATCTTAAAAATCTTAATCAGAATTAGTTACTCCACAATATATAACTAAAATAACTACTAGTAGATTACAGCATGAAACAGTGCACTATATCAAGGTACCTATATTAAAGCTAGCAAAAGAAAAGGCATTGATTAGGAGTCGAATGTACCTTACCACCAAAATGATGATAATGGCCACAAGTACCTTCACTTAATCCCTGGGGAGTAAACACAAAGGAGGTTCCTAAGAGCAGGAGAAACTCCACACGTTTCCAGGAAAACGTATACAAGATTTCTGCTTTGTGAAGGTTTTGTGTGCTTTTTATAGTTGTAAAGTGTCTGACAGTCAGAAATTCAGCGTATCTTACCAGATCTCACTTCAACAGTAAGATTTTTATTGGCAATTGGGAGATGCCAGACCGGTGACCATGGCACCAAAATCACTCACCAATTATAAAAGATGACATTAAATACAAGATGGTTTGTCCTGTTTGAGTTATCTGACTCAATGACAAACAACAAATAAGCTCTTGTAGGGGGTGACATGCTCTGCTACAGCAGCCCACTAGCTGGAATCTCACACAAGTATGCGGGAATAGCATCAGGTTACTGATATATATCAGATGAAGTTATGGACTAAGTGAAAAATATAAAGCAGTAAAAGGGTGTAGGGTGTTTCCCTTGAATGCATTTATCAAAGCATGTATGGTGAATCTCCTGAAGACCTGTAAGGAAAGCTAAGTTGGGCAAATTCACTTCATTGCAATGGAAGAATCATGGTATTTTGTGGAGAATCTTCCTTTCTAATCACTACTACATCTTGATGAGTACAAAGACGTGTGTAATATTATCAAAAAAGACTGCACTATTTTTCTTGATGTGGCATGAAGTTACTGAAACAATCACTTTAGTAAGTATCCATGTGAACCGGTCTCAAGTCTTTCATACCTGTGCAAAACCTCATGTTGATTTCAAAAGGAATAGGGTTACATCATAACAGTGTTTGAAAAGCAGATAAGCTGGCTAGAGCAGATACTATTATGTCATCTTTGGTACTCTGTGGTATCCATTAGTACAGCACTTTATAATCTGCAGTGCAATTACATGTACAACATCCGTGTGGATGATGACACAGCTATTAGCTTGATTTCAGAGCTGGCAGGCTGAAGTGCACAGAAATAGCTCGGTTGGTAAAAAGGACTGACCCTACCAGGCCCACCCACACATGAAAAATGACAGCAGGAAAGGTCTGTGACTATGGTGGTATCTCTCTGTGGTCATAAAAAGTTAAGTGGTTTTAGGTTCCAGTGGGAATGCAGCCATGACAACCCAACTTCCTCAGCCAGGAAAAGCCACTGCACCCGGGAAAACTGGCTGGCTGCTTGCATCAGCACTGCTTTACCAAAAGATGTCAGGCAAAGTATCCTGTTACAGGCTTGGGAACTGCTGTCTATGTTTTATTTAAATAAAACCATTCCGCAATCACCTATCACAAGCTCAGTAGTATCTCTATAAGTGACTTTCATGTTAACAGTCTTTGTGGCTGTTGAAAAGGATTTTGAAGTATGAATTATGCCTTAGAAATGGACCTAGGTCAACAAAGAGGCTTGTGAACCTAATTCTAGCATTCAATTAAGAGGTCTACTTCTGAAAAGACTGCCTTACTCACATTAAAGAATTATTTTAAATAAATTATTGATGAACTAATGTGCAAAGGTTAAATATAAATAAACCAAAATGAATGCCAGCAAAAGTCATCATCTCCCAAACCATAATTAAAAAGTCTTATTGCAAGTAATATAAAATCTTTGCCAAGTTCTGAGTCCTGACCTCATTACTGAATATTATCCTGGTAAAGTCCACGTTTGTTTCACTATTAGAAATTTTTTAGCTTCAGCAGCACACCTTGATGCCTGTTTTACATGTAGCCTTCTCTTTTTATCTTTGGATATTGTGAGATTTGCTAAAAGGTTTATACTTGCTCCTGAATACACATGGAGAAAAAAAATCCAAAGCAAAACTTGGGCATTCTCATTTTGAAATTCTGTTTTAATTCAAAACTATTACTAAAGGATATACAGATCAGACTGTCTATTCACTGAGTGCAAGTGAATGTTTTCCCAGGAATATGGGAAAATAGAAAAAATCACTTAATGGAATATTTTAAGAACCAGATTATGGCTGTATTTCTCCAGATCATATCCTCCTATGTCCACAATGTTTGGCTGGTGTGACTTTATCATGTTTCTGATAGGTTCACTCCCAGAATATGGTGCTGTTCTGTATGATAAATGATTACAGAACTGAACATCAAATTAATACAAGAGAATATAACTAATAGAATAAATATTTGTTAAGCATTCTGGAGAAGCCATATGCAATATATATAACTAAGGATGACTAGGCTAATATCTTTGGGGTTGGAGGAGATCATCATCCTTCAAGCTTTCTTTTTGTGAGTAAAATTCTATAGCTGGGGTTCATGAAATGTAAACACATGTATATATTTTCAGTTACCTATGCACATCTCTGGTTACCCCTGGTTTCCAAACCCAAACTGCTCTGTGCTTGTTACATTTCTCTATAAATTTTCCACTACTATCAATGCAATCACATTTGTCATCAGTTCCATAGCAACCAACAGACGACGTAACTCAAAAGTCTCTCTTCTGCCTGTCTGACGCTCTGTGTCACTGACAGTAGCTGCTAGATCACATTCAGGGAAGGCAGAACAAATACATGAACACCTACCAGCAAGGTATTATTCTAGGTTCTTCTTGGGATGCATTAGCTGTGTCCAGCAGCACTGCATAACTCTCATGTGAATGCAAGACGCAAAACTTACCTCACTATGGACAGTTCCACTCACAGATCAACTGGCAATGTTTGTATTTAAAGTTATTTCATTTGTGCACAGTTGTCAAAACAGGAAAGAAAAAACAAATCAAACTAAAACAACGGCAAAAACAACAATAACAACACCAACAAAACAATAGGACCCTAGCCAGATTATCCAGTTAGCTTTAAAGAATGTTATAAATTCACTCCAATTCTTGTTAACTGTTGCTGGGGTGAAAGGTTTTTTGTGGGATGTAATCTGAGCTGTAATTATCCAGTAAAATCCAGTAAAAATTTTCCTTATATCCAACAGCCCTAAAATTGCAACATTTTATCTGTTCATGGTCTTGGAGCAGTTGTTGCAGAATCTGAATGTGGGGTGAAGGACTCGATTATTGGCTAGTAAATATTTCAAAACTGTGATTGCTTTTGTAAAATAGCAGTTCATATAAGTAACAGCATGAGTGAAAATTCAGCTGCTTACCACATATAAATTGCTCTCACTCTGGAATTACATCCTGTACTGGAAATAACATTAATCTGTTTTGTTGGAGCAGCTGGTGGAACTAGAAACAGACTGGTTGCCTAAATGATAATGAGTAGAATGAGATTTCTTGAAGCATTTCTTAGCAGTGATTACTTGCTCATTTGTCTATTGGAGACTGATGGTAGCAATACAGTTGCTGCTGCACATTTAATTTGTTGTGCTTGTGCCTTCAAAACTCACAGACTTCACAGGAAAAGCCTGTATTTCCCAGGAATGTGAGACTTGCTGTAGGGAGCTGAGTCACACTCATGCCTGTCTTGTCCTCTCCTTTGTGGGCAGGTTCTGCTGCTCATCACCTCAAGGTAGTCATACTTCAATGTTTTGCCAGTAAAAGTTCTGAACATTAGGTAACAAGGCATTAATTCTGTCCAACATTCTATTATTTGCTAGAATCTTCCCTTCTGTGCAAATAAGAGTGGTTATGGTGGTGTCAGTTTCAAATCACTTGTCCTGTTGAAAAAATAACTAGATTCATGTAGGACTAGATAGTGTGAATCTGGGGCAAACACCAGGAAGAAAAAATATAACAGTGCCTATCTTCTGTGGCACATTGCCTGCCTTCTTTGCTTCATTTCGCTCACTGTCCCTAAAATGAGGCGCACCCAAACCCCCCTCTGCATTACCCAGCTGATGCATCTGGTTTAACCCACTGAGGCAGTTCCCTGAGTGCATAGTATTTTTTTTGCAAAACCTCTTTTAGCAGGATTTTGAAGCAGATGAGGTTGCATACATTGCCTTTGGGATTTGGGACATATTTGTTTCCAGCTTGGTGACCTATTAGCTGCACATCACTGCTTTGTAGAAATTTACCTGTTTAATTCTTCCCTTTCTAAAGGGTGGAGAACATGGCCATGCGACTGGAAGAAGTAAATGAGAGAGAGCACTGCATGAAGGCCTCTCTGCAGACCGTTGACATCAGGCTTGCTCAGCTGGAAGACATGATGGGACGAATGGTGACTGCCTTTGAAAAAATGGCTGGCATTGAGAGAGGCGAGACAACTAAGATACGATCCAGGACCTCATCAGACTGTACTGATGCAGCCTACATTGTGAGGCAGAGTAGCTTCAACAGCCAGGAAGGAAATGCCTACAAGCTTCAAGAGAGCATTGATCCCACAGGGGAGGAGTGCATGTCCCCAACATCACCTACAATCACACCCCGCATGCGAAGCCACTCCTTCTATGCAACAAATATGAAGGACAAGTGTGGGTTGGAAAAGTTGGAAAGTATTTTTAAGGAAAGATCTCCAAGCCTGCATCGGGCAATCAGTTCCCACTCAATAGCAAAAGAAGGAAAGGTTCCTTTACCCCCTACCAGCACTTTGTCAATCGCCCCAGATTCCAGAAGGCCTTCATCTTGTATAGACATCTATGTTTCTGCCATGGATGAAATGCATTCTGACACAGAACCTCTCGAGAGTTCCATAAATATCCTTGGTCCTGAAGATGCAGCTCTGCCAGCTCACATAGCCTCCTCCCTTTTAACTAATAGTGCATACATCAGCAGTATAGCTGGTGAGAAGATCTCTGGCAGGAGTCTTGATTATGAGGAAACCTCTGGAATAGAAACAAGAGCATTTTCTTCAGACTATTCGCAAATCACAGATTGCCAAATCCCGTGGGATTCAGACCCTCCCTTGTATCATACTTTAGAGCGATCTAAAAGCAGTCGTTACCTGGCTACAACTCCATTTATTCTGGAGGAAACACCAATTGTGAAATCTCACAGCTTCATGTTCTCTCCTTCTCGAAGCTACTTCAGCAGCCTTGGTGTCCCAGTCAAAACTGCAGAATACACAAGCATTACAGATTGCATAGACACGAGGTGTGTGAGTGCTCCCCAGGCCATTGCAGAGAGGGCCAGTTTCCCTGGAAGTCTCAGGGGCAAAGTAGAGGACTTGGGATGCTGCCACCCAGAGAGAGAGGCTGAACTAACCCACCCAAGCTCTGATCATGAGGATAGTGAAGTCAAAGACAAGAAGGGAATCCCTTTATCTCCTCAAGACAGCAGTGCTACAACAACTCTGCCCAACAGCATCCCACTCCCGAAAATAGAGCGAGCCAACAGCTACTCTGCAGAGGAGTCCAATGTATTGTATGCACAGCACACACGGAAGAGCTACTCCATCAGTGACAAACTTGACAGACAGAGAAACACAGCAGGCCTGCGGAACCCCTTGGAGAGGAGTAAGTCCTCAAGGCCAGAGAGTGGAGGGGACCACCTGTCCATGAGGAGACTGTCAAGAACAGGAGCCTTCTGCAGCTTTGAAAGCAAGCACAGCTAGGCTTATACAAAGCTTACCAGCAGTCTAAGGGTCATCTGCTCTTCAGTCTGTTTTTCTTAGCAGAATTTTTAAAAAACCCTCACACTACCCTGTGTTGAGTCCAATTGTCATTAGCCACCGGTCAAGGGAGCACATTTTCAATCTCAACATCACCACTGAGATACTGCATCTTGACCCAGTCGACATTTGCACTTAAGAAAAAAGGGAGGGATGAAAGCTTTACAAAACCTTCAGTAAATTAGAGGAATAACAAGCCCCCTTAATGAAGTCAGAAGGAATAAATGAATAGGTTCAGATATCTGCCTTTTATTAGAGGGCATCCTAAGACCTTTTATCGTTATTCAAGTTTTTAAGATGCAGGAATTAACTGGCAAAAAAGAGATGTACAAATTAGATGTTCCAAACTTCAATCACAACTTCTTTTTCATCTATGTCACCATTGTGATGACTGGTGAAAAGCATTTGTTATTTCTGTAGGAACTGGCAGCAAACAAACAAACAAACAAAAAAGGTCTCCCAGGTCCCTTGCATCCCACACTTGTGGAAATGAAGAAAGATGAACCCAATAACAACTATAAATGTTCACTTGTCTCCTTTTGTATCAGCTTCTAGTGCCACAGAAAGTTTATATTTTCAAGAGCGGAAAGGGAAACAAAATGCCTTTTTTACTGCAACTAAAATGGAAGAAGAATTTATGTAAAAATGTCAGGTGATTTCCTGTATAAAACAGGCATTCTAGATTCTAGCACAGGTGAGCAAGCTCAGGATGAATGTAATTAAGTGGAATAGTATATATTTATTTTTTTACCACATTTGTCATCAATATGTTGTCTCACTAAATCAAAGGATGTGATGAAACAATAAGAATAGGATGAGCAGAGCAGAGCATAGTAATAGTGTCCAGTTCTCACTGCTCAGTTTAATTATATATATAAATTGGGGAGATTTATCCACCATGTTGCCACCAGGTTCTTCTTGCTCTTTCATTTGAGCTGCCAATTCTTCACATCATTCCCCCACCTAAAAATATACACCTTTTTTTTTTTTTTCATGTGAACAGAGCTTTTGGACTTTTTAAATTATACAGGATTTATCAAGAAGTCTGAATCCAGATTCACGTAATTAGACTGAAGCTGCTTAAAAGACAGTATTTTTGGCAGAGGATTGGAAAACACTAGAATTTCTATGTGCTTCTAAGGTAAGTAAAAGAACCAAAGTGAAGCTGCAAGTGTCTGTAAACAGCAAAAGCCATCAGTTGTGAGTAGGCATCCACTGTTCATCAGGAGGTCACACAATGAGCACGTGTGCCAGGAGGTGTGTCTGAACGGTAGCGCAGTTATGGGTTTTGGTTGAAGACAGTTGTTAACTCCACTGGCCCCACCCGTGTTCCAAGGGTCCACATTGTCAAACAGAGTTTCAAATTTCTCGTGAGACAGTGTCCAGGTGGTCACAGGTGGAAGGGTATACAGAAGACTGGAGAAGGGTGGAGAAGCATAAACTGCAACTGGAAAAACAACTCACATTCCTTTATGACGGCACAACTTTTAAGCTTTTAAAAAATTGACGCTAATGCTATTAAAAGTTAAAATATCTTAACAGTTCCCAATATCTGTGTAGAACCAGCTCCTTTTTGTTATTAAAAATGAACATTTGTGAGTGAGGTACAGTATATATTTCACATTATTTAAATGTGAATTATCTTTCAAAAGCAGCTTTGAGAATATAAGCTGATGTTTTCTCACTGAGTCCTGGGAGACTCTGAACACCATCTGAGAGTTAAGCCCAAAAGGCAACTAATCCAGACAAAAATATAATCATCAGCCTCAATAAAAGAGGCAAAGAAGGTGAAAACATTCAGTTAACAAGTCACTGCGTTGGAAAGTTCAGGAAACAAGGAAATGCAGCAAGGGGATGTTAAGAACAATGTGTTTCACACTTCCTGCACCAACGTGTTCCTTGATTTCTTCTGTTTGATCAGGCTTTCAGTGAACTAAACTCCACCAAGACACCATGTTTATGCAATTGCCTTGCAGGCCATGTGCAGCATTACAGTCACGTGGCAATACCAAGAAAGGTCAGAAACCTTTCTGTGCATTATGAAGCATGCTTGTGAGCAGGCTGATTGTTGAACAATAGCAAAATGCCCAAGGGCAAAGGAACTTGTGTTTAACAATATGCTTCAAATGTGCCAACCTTCTGTTAGCAGCCTTTTCCTAAGGCTTCTCCAAATCTATCTATCTATGGAGAGGAGAGGGGGATATTCTTACTTCGTTTTCTTTGTTACTTTTATGAATGTCTGCTAAAACTGTTGTGGACTCTTTCGTCTTCATCGTATTACTGGTCTACTCAAGAGGAATTTCAGATTCTTTAGAAATTCCTCGGCAGCGCTTAGTGGATTAGTTCAAGGCATAGGGCTCTTCTCTGGGGTAGATTCCACTGGTTAGTTTGTCAGGGTAAAGAAATTTGCCAAGCCCAGAAGCTGTATAAAGCTGTTTAGAATACAGCACCTTATTGATCTGGAGCACACATTCCAGGTAAAATGAAACAGAACACTTTATTTACCTCTTAAAATTTGCCATTATATATAAAATGTTCATTCAGATGTTAAAAGTGTGATTGCAAGATGTCAGAACACTGCTTTTCCTGAATGTTTTCCATTTATTCTGCAATGTGGTTCTATAGAATATATTATGATGGATGTTAGACTATTTTATTTTCACCTGGTTTTTACACATTGAATCAAACTGCTCCTTTTTGAATTTGATGATAAAACACCCATTTCTTGCAATGGGACCAGACTTCCCATTCTTGATATTATGACCATTTAGTGAGTTAGAAGTCTCATCATCCATCATCATGTAGCTATAGCATGTGCCATATGATGTATTCTGTATCTAAGGATAGTTTATGAAATAGACACATATATAGTTGTGACATGTGGTAATATTAGTGAACGTTACAGGAGAGTTTTAGTATCTCATTACATGGTCTTGTTTGTAAATCTGTAACATTCAATAAAATAGCACATGTTGCATCAAACATTAAGTTCCACTATCCAATTATTAGCTTTCATATGGAATATGCCTTTCTGGTCACAGTGTGCAAGTTTGGTATGTTTCGCACATTTCTTTGTATAGCTCCACTTAAACGTCTGTTTGAGCTGATGTATAAACCTCTAATGAGCCACTGTGGGCTGTGACAGATGAGTTGTGATGGTGTGAAAGAGGAACTGGCATGTTATGCAAAAGATTATAAGATAAATGAACTTTAATAATATTTTAAAACTCAACTGAGCTTAGCTGTTTGTTTACATATGCTGGTTGACTGAGGAAGCAGTGTGCAGTATTTTATAAATATTTTCCTATAGTAATCCATTCTGTTGTTTCCAGTTTAAGTGATTCTATTCTACAGTTGGGGTATACACTTGTCCTAGGTATTGTATTATAGCACATTATTCTTTCACAATAACAGTGTGATATGACTGAAGTAGTTTCTCTTCCTTACAGTCCAGTCTTTTTTTGTGTCAAAGAAAATGCATGCATTGTTCCATGAGTTTCTTTGGACTGCTAGGAGACTTAACATTTTGCTATTGCCTGCCTGTCAAGATGAATCCAGTTAGGAATGAATCCAAACTTTTGGATGTTTACATTATTTCCATTATTTTTTGATCTTTAGCAAAGTAAGTGATTTTTTTATTATTTTTAAAAGACAATTGTATTTTATGAAATTTGAATACTCAACACAAAATGCGAACCTACAGCAGTGCTCAGACATTTGGCTCTCTCTTTTTTTTGGAAGAGATCAGGTGCTACATTATTTTCTTAGCACAAGTGCCAGTAAACAAATGGCAGTGAGGGGATAATTTGAAAATATAATGAAAAACCAAAACATCCATTCATCTACATACGGAAATCCCTCTGGGTTCCAGACATAGATTACTTTTTTTTTCTTTCTTTTTTTTAATTTTATTTTCCATTTATAGATTTTTTGGTAAAAAAAACAATGAAACTGATTTGTACCTTTTGCAGAAAGGATAGCCTTTTGTCAGGGGATAAATATCTTAGTTAGGTATATTTTTTGTATGAGAAGAAAATGATTTGTTTCTTAGAAACTGTCAGCACATGGAAGATGCAACTACATGAATAACTGCTCAAAAAAAATAAAAGCTCCGGTAGCAGCACACAGCCTTAGTCCAATGACTGCAGTGGAGCCAGTATCTGTCCTGAGAGCAGAAGTTATCAAAGCTATTAGAGTGAGCCAGGGAAACAAAATTCTCTATAAACTCATGGTGCAGGTTTTCAAACCAAGCATAAATGTCTTGTTATGTTGCTCAGGTTAAACACTGAAGAGGGTCTGATAATCGCCTGAAGGGAAAGTGTGAGCTGTTTTTTTCCTGTATTTCCTTTGGAATGTTTAAGTAGTTGTGATGTGTTCCCCTGATTTAAAATGATAATATATTTGCATTTTTGCACAAATATGCATAATTGGTTTAGCAAAGGCCACATTTTCAATTCTGTTGAGAGATACTAGGTATAGTTCATCTTTTTCTTCAAAAAAAAGGTAATTGTCCTAGCATGAATTTTCCCTTCAACCACTGTAGATAAAATCACAGTCCAAACTGGGATGAGAAGTGAAACATTGTGGGTATCTGCTTACCTAGTGAAACCCTTCACTATTCTAGATGGAGTTCACTATCCTTGCCACACTTTGGCATAGGAGCAATAGTACTGGATGCAGAGGGACTTTGTTTCTTCACCCTGCTTTATAGACAGTCATACAGTGAACACTACAGGTCACACAGGCTTCTCTTCTCCGTGACTGACTACAATTAGGGTCTTACTGATGCTGGTGCAAATCTGCAGAAAATCCACTGATTTCAGTGGCATGCTCTGACTTCTGTCAGGAGATGGATTTATTCTGCATTTCTAACTCAATATTACTTCAAGTCATGGCGTGGATTACACTATATCTCCTTCAGGTTGGAAGTCTAGTGATGGAGC